TCAAACACAGCAACAGCAAAAGCAGACAGACAGGCACAGAAACAGTAGCAGCAACAGCCCACCACAAGCGTGGTGAGAAGGCAGGGAGAAAAGCTGTCGATCAACGAAGCTGCCGGGGCCGCAGGCGCGGCGCACCATGCGCTGGGGCGGCAAAGCTCCGCGGCCTGGGAGCTTGGGCGCGCCGGCGCCGGCGTCGAAGGAGCTGCGGCTTGAGCAGAGGCCGGAGGAAGCGGGGCTGAGGAAGGGGGAACGCAGCCCAATGGCAGATCGGCAGATAGCGCAGACAGATCCCCAATGTCAGAGATTGCGTAGACTGATTGCACGGAGAGATCGCAGCGTTGCAGATTGAAGTTTGAAGGAGCTACCAAGTGAGGTCGCGCTTGTGTTTTGTGCAAGCAGCATGGGACCGAATGCCAGGATACCCAACATCTTCGAAATCCCGGGCGCCTTGGACGCTGGGGAGGTAGCCGCCCTGATCGAGCGCACCGAGCAGGTTGGCCTGGAGCTCCAAACCAGCCGTGGGCCCGCCTACGGTGAAGCCGTGCGGCGGCCTGACGCAGAAAGACTTAGAGAGGTTGGGCGCCTTCCATGTCTTCGGACACGCGTTCCAGGCACACTTTAGTGGAATCCTTCTTGAGCAACTGATGTTTTCTTGAGAGTTGATAGTAGTGTGACGGTGGGCAAGGTTCCTTTACACGCTGTCGGTTTGGGATGCGCCGAGGCATCACTCCCGCACTTCCTTCGAGGATTTTGGCTATGCGGAGGCCTTGTGGCGCAGCGGCCTGGACAGGGCTTTGGCACCTCTGCGGGTGGCCGGCCGAGCGCCTGCAGGCTGGGGGTTTGGTATCCAGTGGTCGGGCGGGATAGGTGGACTGGGGCATGGCAGGCCTAAACGAGAACATCCGGATCTACAAGTATTCGGGTGGGGACGTTTTTGGGCAGCACGTGGATGGCAGCAACCGGACCTCGAGCGGGCGCACCGAGTACACGCTTCTGATCTATCTGAGCGGGGCCGCGGAAGGGCTCGCGGGAGGGGAAACGGTCTTCTATTCGGAGGGTCGGGAAGTTCTCCGAGTGGCGCCTTGCGCGGGAACAGCGCTGGTGCACCGCCACGGCAGAGAGTGCTTGTTGCACGAGTCCCTGCCGGTGCAGCAGGGCGTGAAGTATGTCCTGCGCTCCGATGTGGTCTTTCCCGACTGAACATCGCGCTTAGGTCCAACTCGCTTCAAGGTCTGCGAGCGCCTAGTGCTGGCTTACGATCGCTTGCGCAGTGCTGCAAGACTGCTCGGAACGGGGGGTGGAATGGTTCCCGGAAAGTGGCCAGATCGGTGCCTGCCGGATTTGCAACGTTTCCTTGCGGACAGTCGTGCTTCGACTCATTTCCAGCGGTCCGGCTGCTTGCCGCGGGCTGCTGGCTCAGCTAATGCTCGTTCAGACAAAGCTGAAGAGGCGCTGAGAAATGTCGTGGGCGCGAAGGCAAGTAAAAAGTCGTGGGCGGGCGGCGGGTTGGACTTCCGGCGGTGGGCTTTCGTGTTGTTGCCCTTAGCCCAAGGCTGAGGCTTAAGTTCCCTACGACCTTTTTCTTTTTGTGTGTGCGTCCGTGTATGCGGCATGCCGCGCGGTCTAGTTGGTTCAGTACTTCACGGAGTGGCGCCTGCTCGCAATGCGCGCCAGAGGCTGGCACCACGGGCGAGAGTCGGGAGGCTGGGGCTTCGAAAGGGAACAGCCAGCGGGCGTTTTGCGAGCAAGGCGATGGGGAAGCTCCCCCAGTGATCTGCTTGAAAGCCAAATTTTGGGGGCGGAAGTGAATTGAGAGTGTGCCCGAGCGGGTCTTGGAGTTTTGAAGGCATGTTCTACCCAGTCATGACCTTGTTTGGCGTGTTTGGACGAGATGGGCCATGGCTCCCTCAACCCTGAACTGAACTACACGCATTGAATTTGTCCAACAGTCCTTCTTACATTTGCAAACCCTGGCCATTTGCCCCAGTCGGAACCAAGGCCCAGCCAAGTGCCAGCTGCGAGAGTGGCTTGGGATGGGCGCAAAAGGGGCTGCTGGCTCTTTGCCAGATGTTTCGCATGCGCGCCATGAAGGATGCAACAGCGCCCATTGTCATGGGGAGGTATTTGTGGCGCGACGCTGCCCGTTTTTTTTGTTCCAGTGCGCCAGTGCGCTGCTGGTTTCCCATTTGAAGCGTCTGGTTTGCTGCAGGCTGAAGGTGCAAGCGGCTGCGGTTGCGCTGCGACTGCAGCAGAGCTTTTGGCCCAAGAGAAAATGCGGAAAAAGCAAAACCTCTCAGCACGGACTATGTGAGATTCAATAGCCGGGCAGCACGCAAGTGTGGTGGGGGGTCTCCCAACTTGTTTGAGCATGAGAGGCAACATTTTGCGGGCAAGAACAGCCACTGCAAACACATGCCCAGCTCGATAGCACTGCCAAGCACTCCAGAGAACTAACAGCTCTCCCAATCACCCGCTCTTTGAAGCACTCCCAAGCATTTATCGCAGGTCCAGTCTTTCCGGCCTCCAAGCCGCTCCAAAGCACGTGGCCCCTGATCGGCTCATGGATGCCATGCTCCGTGGCGGAACAGATGCACACTGCAGGATGCGGTGTTCGATTGTTCAAGTTCAATGCTTTAACTGCCTTATCCAATTCAATTGTAGGTTTGACGTCCTCATTCTTTCCCAAAAAGCACGTCTTTTGCCACAGCCAGGGGATGCAACTGCGACTGCTTCTTGAAACAGCGGGTGAAAAGCCCATTCGAACTGTTGCGACCCCAGGTCCAGTTGGTTACAAGAATGTACCAGCATGACATCATCCTAATCATTCAGTGTTTTGAAATGAGTCCATCCAGCCAGCACGCCTCCCACGTCCAATTCTGCACCTCCTGCACGTGTACAGTCGTGTTCCGCCATTCAGTCAGCAAACGGTTCTTTATCACACATAATTCCATGCTGGTCGGTGAAGCGTTGCGCTTGTCATTCTGAAGGGCGGCCTTTTTGAGACGTAGAGGGAACAGCTTGGAGTGAGCATGCTCCAACTCGCCCAAGGCTCGGCCGGGCCATGTGGCGACACTTGCTGGCGGGGGGCCTTGAGATGTTGCCGAGCCTTTCCGGGGTTGGAGGGAGAAGCCGGGCAAAAGCTCCATGGCACAGCCTGGCGGTGTTGCCTGGATCGGGCCTGGCATTGGGGGGGCCCCCCCACCTTCGAGGAGTTTGCGAGAATCCGGGAATCCCTAGGACACAATGTCTTCTTGAAGCAGTTGGGAGGTGTTTTCCTCTGAACATTGGCCCGGAGTTCGCTCGGAGCCCGGGCGGTGAGGCCTTGGCCCTTGCACTCCGAGGCACGGGAACGGGGCGGTGATGTTCTTCTCCCTTTCCTGCCAGCTTTCGCTAGCCTTATCCTTATTCTGTTCTTCCACCTTTGTGTCGGTCTTCCGGCTTTTCTTTTCGCTGCTCGACGTGTTTTCCCTGCTCTTCTTCCATATCTTCTCTCCACCATTGACCTTTTCAAGTCGCTTGTTATGAGACAAGCTTGGCAATATTACGACAAGTCAACGAACGAGACCAAAGCAGCTTCGGGGCAAACTGAGAGGGAAACAAGCTATGATATGTAACCTTCAATTTCGGTCTTTGGCCTTCGGCTGTTTGCCTTGCCCGATGCTGGCAGTGGCCTTTTTGAGAGGGAGACGCGTTGCGTAAAATCAACCTCCCGTTGTGCCTTTGCGCAGGGGCTGTTCCGTGGTTTGGCTGTTCGGTCAAGATGCAAACTGCAGGTGCGCAGGGCTGGCGCGCGCCTCGGAGAGCTGCCTTCCAAATTTGTAAGGCTTTCAGCATTCCGCCTTTTGATTTGTACCCTTTCCTAAAGCAGGCCAAGTTTTACTTAAGCGGGATCGCTTCGCTTCGTATGTGAACACCACAACCTTTTTTTGAAGCCCACTTGACAAGGTCGAACATATTTTTTCGCAGACAAACGGGTTACAATGGAGCCTTGGGGATGTATAAGAGTCCATTGTGCAGCCCCGGCAGATCCACAAACAATATTTGAGGATGACTTGCTGCTGGTGTTTATTCACCCCATCTTGACTGGCTTGCGTTTATAATATAGGAATGAGGAGGCGAGAGGCGAACGTGACGTACCAATGATCAACCGAAATTGAGCAATCTTCAGCACCTAGAGGCCCGCAAGCACCAGCCAGTTGCATTCTTGAACCAGTGGCTTGTCAGGTCGGTGCTCATCCTAGGCGCGGGATTCCACGCTTGGGCGGCCTACGTCACGTTTCTCGGGCCGTGAGCCGTTGGAATGGCTCTCGAATCCAGGCGGCACCGGCTTCAGAGGGCATCTCACCACTGAGCTGCTGGTGCGGGAGGGCCACAATGCCTTGGGGCCAAGGGGGGGGGGGGAAGTTTTTCGGATGCGTCGGATTGGGATCCGGCACTGGGAAGTGCTCCTTGAGCAGGCCCTGTGGGCTTCAGCCTATCCCACAGGGCGCCTTTGGTCCTGTCAAAATGATTGAAATCTACTTGAACAAAGGATACTTTGTTAGTCTCTTGGGACAGGTGCCTCAGCGTGAATAGCAATGTTTCAGGCGAATCAGGCTTTGGTTACTTTGGGTTTCTTCCCAATGGGGCGGGAGCTCCTTCACAGTGCCAGCCCCTCCTCCCCCCGGCGTCGAGGTCACGGTGATCAGCCGGGGCATCAGGTGACCCATGGGCTGAGGTGAAGTTGGATCCGTCGTGCAATATCTTGCAAAGCCGATGCCCCCACGCGGGTGACAGGAAATCTTTAATCACGGCTGCCTGTCAAATTTGACGCCCTGCGGCTCTGCGGCAGATGCCACGTGAGAGGAGAACAAAACCCAATCATCACTGACAACCTTTGCTGGGATAGTTGAGGCTGCATTTGCAGCCTCATGATCTTTTTGTCAGAGGTTGCAATTGAGATATTTAGTTTTGTTTTCACCCTCCTTCAGCTGCGAGAAGTTTTGCGAGCAGGTACTGGGACAATTTCCAGCGGCTCTCGCCTCACATGACGCACTGGCGGTGCAATCGCACGTGTGGGACCTAAGGCTAAGGCCGAGCCCCCTTGTCCGAGCATTGGCTCTCCGTGTGGTTTTTTGCATTCGTTCGTCAGCCAAAATGGCCAGCACAGCGCTTGCACGTGGCGTGGTGATGTATGGCATGCAGCCAGCTCTGAAGGCTTGCGCAGGAGCATGGAGGCGGCGTCCTTCCAAAGCTGGCATCTCAACGCGGTCGGTGTTAGGTGAGTTGGCCAAGGTGATGATGACCGAATTATAGAACTGCCGGCATTTCAGGTGATGCAGAATGTCAATCTCGAAATCTGCGCAATGACTTCCTCTGATTCTGGGTGACCCGTAGGTTGGTACTTTCCTCTAACGCCTGGGCGGTGGCAGTTATTGTCCGGTGGTCTCCCCCGAGGACATCCAAAGAGACACCAGCATGATTTGCATCAGCTCGCACTTTCCGCAGCCCATTGCTTCGCGGGCGTCAGCCACAGGTCATCGGGCCTGGTGAACTGTACAGAGCTGGTGAACAGCAATGCCCGGCTCTTGACGGCAGGGCGAGGGGTTTCCAGCGTCCCTTGGAAGGAAGCACTGGGCCACTTGGTTGTTTCGATCTATTTGCGGACCCATGTTTTTTCTTTTTTTCTTCTTCCTTCTCCAGGCAAGCATGAGCGAGCAATTTGGCTCTCAAAGGGGTTTCGGTGACAAAGAAGATCCTTGCAATACCGGCGGAGAAGATTTTGCGGATGGCTATGAATCTGGCTGACAGAGTGCCACTTGCGCTCGCACAGGGCCTGCTTTGGACATGGTAGGGCACCAGGGGTCAGTTAAACGCAGGAAGGATCCCACCGAGAAGGACTGGGTCTTTGGCGGCGGCGCAACGAAGCTTGCAGCCGCCGCCGGCCAACCGGGCCTCGGATCAGCGCATCATACCCCGAAAGGCACGTTCTTTTGCTTCACAGTTATCACGCAGATCCGGTTTCCCCGTTTGCTCAGCTTGCCCTTCCCTTGCTGCCTGGCAGCTGGTGACGTATTCAGCCGAGCCACGAGCACTCGAGCACAGGCCACCTTCGACGCCGTGGTAGACTTCTCCACGCGAACCCTGCCAGAGATGAAGCAGGCGCGCCCTCAAATCTTTGGTGAAAGGTTCTTCCGCATTTCCCGCAGACCCCTAGTCTCAGGTCTCAACTTCTTATTTAAGTAGAGATCAGCCTGCGTCTTTTGCAGAGGCCGCAGTTGAGCCCCCAGTTGTGCAGCCATTTCAACGAGACCCTTGCGCTTTTCAGGTCTGCGCTGGGGCAGGAGTAACAGTTTGGCAGGGGCGCAAGAAGCAGAAACATGTCAGCGGAGGGCGACTTCCTACCACCATCCTCTTTCACAACCCCAAAATTCTGCTGGCTGTTCATCTACCACCCAGGCTTGAGTATGAACCAGAACTTGGGTTCGGTGGCATTGGTTCCTGAACCAGTCGCTTTTTCTGAAGAGATCCTTCCCCCTCAGCCAGATTTCGACTTGGACACGGGACATGATCCTACCGCTCACGGCTGTATAGCTAGCCAGCAGGGTCCTTTGAATTTGCGAAATAAAGCGTGTCGGCCGAGTCTTGAGAATAGCCAACGTGTCGGCTTTTCTCAAAACTGCCACCCAACTACGCGCACACGTTTCTGAAGCAAGGAAATGCATTCGTTCCACACTTGGGTTTCTTCCACTTGGCCGACTCCTGTTCAGGCGATCAGCCTGCTTCGCGGGCGCGTCTCGCTCTATGCTCGGGTCTTGGATGCCTCGGAGCAGAAGGTGGTGTTGTGAGCATGGGCTGGTCCCAGTTGCAAGCAATTGACAGCTGCTTCCACGGGTCCTTCTGCAATTCGGTGTGGCCATGACAGGCTGCCTGGGGAGTCGAGGGTTGCGAAAATGCTTGCGGATGTTGCTCATTTGGCTGCTTGGTTGGATCTGGAAGAGGGGCAGAGTTGAGCTTTGCCCACGTGCGCGGCCTTCCCAGATCTTCATCTCCTCCCATGCCGTGTATGACGTGGCCAAGAATCGCCGGACCACCCAGGGCGGTTTGAAGGTTGCCGCACGGATCGATTGGGTGGCTGGATGTACGGAACAATTTGCTACTGAGCTTCCATCGCTTTTGAACTTGTAGCGGGTGACCAGGGCGAAGTCCTGCAAACAGGGTACCAGACACGCCGAGTTGTTTTTCTTTCGCACTCCCCCCCCCATCAAAACCCGGACGCCTCCCGACAGCAGAGCAAGCATTTTGAGAGCTATGACTGCTGAGGAACGCATGACGAGGAGTACCTGCTGGAATCAGATGCAGTGCGGCCTGGGAGGGAGGCAAGGATCAGGGTCAGAGAGCCCGAGGGGGAGAGGCAGAAGTGAATACAGTACTGTCTCCTTGAGGTGGTTGTCATTATTTTTACTTCTGAGGTTTGCAGCCTGGCGCATGAGGCATGCATATGCGTCATATGAGGTGTACTTTTGGCCCCCTGAAAGAAAGAAAAGGACGGGCTTTGTGGTCTTCAACCCCATTTTCTTGACAATCCTTCAGAGGAACCCACACTGAACAAAGGGGTCTGAGTCATGGCAGCATTGGAACTAGCGCACCTCTGGAGGTCTCACCTTTGGACCGGTGGGCGCTTAAGGCGCGTGGGGGCGGATAGGAGGGAGAGGAGGGGGCAAGGGGCCAACAGGCAGCGGGAAGATGGCGAGGCATAGTCCGAAAGGCGGCTGGCATTTTGCTTGAGCTTCAGAACTTCATCCTGTCGCCCTGGCCGCAGGGCAAGAGCGTCCGTGGGGACAATGAGTTAGAGTGCGAGGAGGAGCTCCTCAAACAGCCGAAGCCCCTGTTCGCAGTGTGTCGCCACCGGACTGTTGCATGCTTTTTTGGCACAATGCAATCGATTTCTCTCAAGTATCATTTATCCCCTGTTGTGCGTCCTCTTTAAGACCATCTTGATGCCTGGCCCAGAATCCTCCAAGGTACAATGCTGGAGGATTTCCCTATGTGACCCTGCGCCTGGGGAATGTCTTCGGCCCGAAGGATGGGAATCGAAGAGCTGAACGCTTCCAAGGGGAAGGGTTGGGTCTTGGTGAAGGCCCTAGACGGGAGTTGAGAGCATTCAGTTGCTCCTCGAGCAAAACGTGGCTTTGTCCAACCCCGAGTGCTGGAGAGCGTAAAAAACAACAGAACCTGGAGCACTTTATCTAGAGATGGGGACTGCTGCGCCATCGGGCTGGCCTTTCGGCAGGAGAACTCCATCCGGTACTGGTTGCTTCACCTCTGGGCGCCTTGCAGCTATTGAGACCGGGGACGAACTGGGGGCTGCCTGGTGGGCTTTTCTGACGACCTTGGAGTCGATTTGGTCGGGCTGGCAGTCAAGTTCGGGGAAGCGGAGCTAAACCGAAAAGAGTTCCTTTCTCATGCGAAGAGGGCTCGGGGCATGTTGACTTTTCCTGTGCGTGCCTGTAGGCGAAGTGTTTCTTAATTGCTCGCTGCTAGGAAACGGCTTCGCGTTCAGAGTGAAGGAAGGAGGGTGCAAGTTCCATGTTGAATCAATCAAGAAACACTTTGCACCGAAGCTTCCTGACTGGTGGCACAGGACGGCTGTTTCACTGAGTTGATAAGATCAGTAACGCTTTGCAGCAGTCTTTGGCATGAGCCTTGTTAGTAAGGCCATGAACCAGACACAGGCAATCAGTGGCTCGTAAGATCTCATAACTTGCGACCTCGTCAAAGTTCTTTGGCTGCCGCACACTAGACGGTTTGAGGTGGCTGATGGGCAAATTTCCTTGGCGCTTTGGCGCGGAATCCTTTCGCAAGGGCCCAAACTTAGAGCCGCCATACTGTGGATGACGAAATCCTGCACCACCACTACGAAACCCTGGAATGATTCCCTCTGTAAATACCAACAAATACTTGTTTCCCATGGTTTCAAAGTGGTGCAAGATTTCGTCCACCCACAGTATGGCTGTGGGTCCAAACCAATGGTACCATTTTGGGGTAGGTGCACCACCCATTTTAGTGAGGGGCTGAGATGTTCACTGGCGGTACGGGGTTTTGACCCATACCCATATGTCACCGACACCCAAGAACCGCACGATCACCTCCAACCGCGCGACCGTGGCGCTGGAAATCCTTCCCTTCGCGCAAATCGAATTGAGGTCAAGGCCTGCGTCGCGCTGACGCTGCCGCTGCACGTGGCGCCTCGGCGTGCGCGTTCCGAAGCCTGCGGTGTGGGGGGTAGAGGGTGGCGCTTTGGCTTGCAAAGTGGGGCTCAGTATTTTTCAGCATGGGGGAGTTTCTGGTTTGCAAAGCTTGGATGTATTTTGAGTAAGGTGCCACTGTGCCACATGTCTGTTTTCCATGAAAGATGACGCCTTTGGCGTTTCCAAAGGGTTTGCAATCAGAGTTTTGAAGATTTCTTTGCGAAGGACAACAGCTTGGAGGCGACCCCCATCAGCATGACCTACACGCCAGACATCGCGCAGGCCATTCTCGAATTCTCGAGGGCTCCTGGCTTCTGGGCCTACCGCAAACATCTTGACATGTTGGTTGTCTGTTTGGTGACGTCGCGGGTGGCCATTAATTACACTGAGACATATCGGTCCCGCTTCAGGTGCGATGCCGCATGCATTTTCAGGGGGTACCGCCGAGTTAGGCGGTCCCCTCCTCCCAGGGGTCTGCAGGGGGCTGGCCCACCGCCGTTGAAACACGCCCACGCGAGGCAGTGCGCTTGGCCATCGCCAAGGGCCTCAACGAGAGCTGCTGCGCTGAGAAGGTGCACGGCGAGGCTCGCCGCCTCCTGGCTACCAACAGCTTTCTTAGGCTGAGCAAGTTTGAAGGTAGTGGTTGCAACTATCCTGGGCCATGTCCATGAGCGCGAGAAAACATGTTTGACCAGCATGGACCGCTTGTGCCCGTGATAGCAGCAAGTTGCTGTTTCCCCCCCTCCCCCCCAGCGCAAAAGCCACGCGTCGTGTCATTTTGAAGCTTGCATGCTCGCCTATCAGTACTTGGGTCGCTGGCTCCCTCGATTTGGAGGCCTTCAACCTAGCCTGCGAAGAAATGCCGAGCCAACGGGTGCTGTGCCCCACGCCCTGCCTCCCTACCCTGTCGTCCTATCCCTCGCTCCAGAAGGGAGGAACAGGCTCGGATATATAACTAGACTTTTGGCCGGAGTGCACCCCGGTACAATGACGCCAGCTGGTGATTATTTCATCTCCGGGTTTTTAGTCGGTTCTCATTCTCGTTCTTGGAAAACTTTCAGCTTAGCCCGGCTCCTTGGGCGCACGTCTAGCCGAAAGGGCGGGAGTGGCATGCGAGGAAAGCTTGCTGTTCCCTTGGCCCAAGAGTTGTCTTCTTGCCGGCCCACTTCTCCCCTTCCTTCTGCACAGAATGGCCCTGTGCAACCTTTGGGGCAGATGCGAGATGCGAGTTGCCCAATGTCAAGAGGAGGAAGCCATGCGGTCTGTGCACCCTAGGCAGTCAAGTCTGTGAAACCGAAGCGCCGGCAAGGTACAACTACATTGGCGAGTGTCGATCCCAGTGTCCCGCTCTCTTGCACGTCCTGCAGATTCGGACAGGGACCCCGGATTCAGGAACTCCTGGTTGATAGTGGGTGACTATTTGTTCTTTTTGAGGTGTTGAGCGTGTGCGAAGCTGGTGACCGGATGCAGGCCCAGTCAGTCCTTTAGGATTAGGCTTCATGCGTGGTGGGCGGGTAAGGCTGGGCCGCCCAACAAACACATCGTACTTTTTTGTTTGTGAAAGGCATTTTCTTGTGATTGAAGTTTGCCAACAAGCATCTTGCTTGCCAATATTGCACTGAAGCAGTGGGCGGGGTGTATACTCTAAAAGGCCTGCTGGCATGCCGTACGTGGAGACCATCGAGTTGCCCCACAACCTGCCGGGAGCTTGGCATTCGCATTCTAGGTTCAAGTCCCCCGGCCGCCCCGGCTGCAGATCTGCCCTGGGACGTAAGACGGCTAAATACACCCCGCTTTGCAGCTCTCCGAACTGTCGCCGCGTGTGTCGGCACCTGAGGTCCATTGTGCTGTACCCGGACAACCTCCAGGGCCCAATCAGCGTGGCCAAGGCGGCCCTGGCAACCGTTGGCGATGTTTGCGCTGGTAATTGGGGATGGTGCCTTCAGACCATTTTGCGAATCGCATTTGTGCTTGTAGTTTGTTTTGGTTGTTTGCCTGCACGCCTTCATGATAGGATTGTTCAAGGCAATGGAATGTGTGAAGATTCTAGCAAAGGTAACTACAATGTGCCCCCGATGTAAAGTGTACATAAAGGAAGCACATGGGTGTGGCTCAAATTAAAGAGCTAAAATTACGCAGGTTTCTTTAAATCGTTTTTGGTTCCTTTTTTTCTCCAAGGTGCCATTGTGGCTCCGTCTTATGGCGCCAGCCACATATCCATCTTCCACGGCCCAGGGCCGTTTTCGCCCCAGCTAGGCGCAGGAGGTGCTGCGCTGGTCCCCGACGACCTTGAACAAAGCGCTGCGCTCCGCGCGGGGCTCGGCGCAAGCGTCGGGTGCCGGTTTTGAGGGCATCCTTCTTTCCATCTGCAACGTTTGTGGTGCCTTAAAATATTAATAATCTATAACATTTGTCGGAGAGCTGGCGGGACAATGTCCTTTTCAAGGGGCCCTCTGTCAGGTGTCATGCTAGTGTGAGGCAGGGGTGTTTTTACAGGGATTCTAGATCCACAACGTTGAGATTATTAATTTGGCGCGCCAGCCGGCATTTTGGGCCTTCTGGCAAAGCCAGCACGAGATGGCTGGTGCAAGCTACACATAGCCAACTTTGTGAAAGTGGCCACATTTGGAGCTTCGCTTGCGGCTCCGAGGTTGCCCGCTTCTACGAGCGGATCATGCTGGAGGCTAAGAAGCACAAGCAGGAGATCGAGTGTGCAGCTGCCCTGGTTGCCGCAGTCCTGACGCGGAACTCGTTCGCCCCATGGTTTCCAGCCAAACGAGGTGAACCGATGCTGTAAAGGAGCTGAAGCTCAGGATTCGAGAGCCGCTTGCTGCTCTTTGTGCTTGCGGCGAGGTGAGTTATCTTGGAGCAAGTCTGAGTCTGGCATGTACTCTTGCATGCAAGTTTTTACAATTCTGTTGGGCAGTGTTTGGATGTTCTTCTAGGGCCTTCGCATCTTTTGGTCAGGAAAACGTATGTCACGAACCAGCGGTGTGGAGAAGCTTCTGCTGTTCACATGGCTTGTCATTCTCTATGTGAAGTGTCCTATGTTTGTTCCCGGAAACCGCTGCCTGGGTCTTGCCAAATGTTGCCCGGCCCATCGCTGCGCCAGACATGTACCGCAAGATCAAAGCGATGCTGGGTGCGGATGGCCCCCGCTTCGTGGAATGGAGCAGGGCGCAGAGCCGGCCATAGTTTAAGGGCCGGGTGGAGAAGGGGGCTGTGGGGTTGGCTTGGAGGCCGTTGCCATTGGCCTCGCATTTTGGAGTGGAGATCTTGCATGCGTCAGACGGACGGCTTTGCTTCGCCGGGGCTCGAGCCAGGCGCTATGCAGAGCGCCGAAAAACGGAGCTCTACGACGAGCTGGACGACGAGGACGAGGATGAGATCATCCTGTCGCGGAAGGTCGGAGTTGAACTTGACCGACCGCTGAAACTTGGACCGAAAGGGGCCGTTGGTGAAGACCTCCGTAAAATTGAAAGTTGCATCCTTTCCAATCCAGTGCAAACACAAACAATTGAGACAATGGATGGCGTCCGGCTGCTTTTGGAGACCCATGCCTCAATTTGCGAAGTTCCTGTGACGTGTGCATGGCCATTTGCGACAGGCGAGCGCAGATCGCCATGGCAAAGGGCCACTGCCCCAGGGTGGGGTGCATGCCATTTGGGCTGGAGGGCTTTCACAGGCAGGGCAGAGCTTCTCCCGAGGGGAGACCAGCCGCCCGCTGCAGCCTTTCACCCCCCTTCGTCCGCATCGCGCCGGTGTAGTTGGCTTCAGCGGTGTGGCACGAAGCACAGGTCCGTGCAGCCGCCTGCCCCATTCCCCCCCCCCCCCCAAGACCGATCTTGCAATCAGAGCAGTTGCTCTTGGAAGGTCATGGAGACTGCTGCATGTCGCGCATATGCTTGGCATGTCGGAACGTCATCAACCCAACCCCAGCTGCCAAGCCAAAGCCTACATTGGGCTGAGACAACGACTGCCCAACCTTTGTCGGGCCGCGGGCTGTGCCATTGCCGATGGGCGGCACGCTGGCGGCCCACTGCTGCGCCACAGAGGAGGATGCCCCGGATGGCCTGAAGAACCTGAAGAAGGACTGGGATGGAAACTGCAACCCCCATTTGTCGAGTATTTTTGTGGCCAGGCGCTGACGTGTGTAGAAGCCGTTGTTGGTTGTTGCTACTTTGGAGCCCCTGATAGATTCAATCGAGGTGTGCGCTTGATGTTGCCACTGTCCAAGCTGATTCCCTGCTTCAGTGCACGCATGGCGCACTGCCAGCACCGTCTCCGAGACGACCCTTTGTGAGGCGCCATCAGGTGCAGACAGGCGCCCCAAAAAACATGATGCGACAGGCCCGGCCCAACAGGAGAACCCAAAACCCTTAACCCCAGGAGTTTGTGCCACGGGCAGTCGCTTCCAACGTAGTCAATCCCTCGCCTTGAGGACGTGGCCTTCGTAGCCGTCACGCTGGACGGCAAGCCCTTGGTGGATTCCTTGCAGGGCAACTGGTTCAGACAATCGGACTTGAAGCATGTAGGCGCGCACAAAACTCGGGCAGGGAAGTGTCCATTAAAAGTATCTTTTACCTGTGGAGGGCTGTGAGCATTCAGCAGGCTAGGGTCCACAGAGATACCTGCAGGTGAGATCTCCGGATCCTATTTGTTCTGGAACCCGCAGTGGGGCCTGAACGACGTCGCTTCCCACCTCTCTGAAGGAGGTTGGGTCGGGGTGGGCGGCTGCCGAGGTTCGTTTCGAGTGGTGTGCGCCAGCTTCAGCCAGCCTGTACTTGGTCTTTTTTCTGTTGCTGTAGGGAGTGCCTAAGTTGAAGCATAGGTTTGCAGGCCGAGGAGATTCATGTTTGTGTGCACGTGCACTTTGGGCTGTTTGTGGAGGCTTGACAAGTCAGCAGTCGAAAGGAGCACAAGGCACTTTGGGAGATGCAAAGGCATCAACCCATCTCAGGTTCCTCCGGGATGCTGGCAGTGCAGATGGAGGATGAGGTCCGCTATGCCACAGTAGCTATGGCCCCATCAGCCTCGATCATGTGGGCTGACGGTGATGTCTGGATCCAAAAGTCGGGAGAGCTGCGGTCGTAAGCCCCTTCCTGACAGTCATTGTCAATTGTCCACTCAGGAGGTCAGCCTTCTACAACTAAATGCTATCTTGTCAAAGATTGTTCTAGTGGCTGGTCGGTCTGTCGGTCGGTCGGTCGGTCGGTCGGTGGGTTGGTTGGTTGTTTGGTGCGATGTAATCAGCTGATCATTGGGGCCGGTATTGGGTTTCCTTTCTTTTGCGATCATTTTCTGGATGCCCCACCGAGCGACTAGCTCATGGCTCTATTTTGCGATGTTTGTCATCGCCCAGCTTGTTAAAAACAAGTTCCGCATGAATACCTTGCAACCGACAACCAAAGCCCATGTCCCAACAAGCAGTTACAGCTGATACCTTTCAATAGACATGACTTTTTGGTACAAGGTGCTGTCATGCAGGCAATAGCTGTTCCAAACCATTCTGACACATTATGATGCAGCTCGAATGCCAATGCCTGGAGTGCGGTCACGGGTCAGGCAAAGGAGCTTCTGTCAATTCCTGGACCAGTCGATGCACTCTGATGCAGACACGGTGCAGGAACTCCTCCATACACCAGTCGCCTCAAGTTGAGGGTTGTTGCTTTGTAGCTGCAAGCTTGACCCCCTCCAATGCCAGACGACTGGCTTTGTTGGTGAAAGCTTGGCCGGAAATTCGAAGGATGCAGCGATCCAGCTATAGGCATTACCTTCTGCGAGTTCCAAGAAAGTCACATCGACTGGTTCAGAGGAAGAATGGGATAGGGAGGGAGTGGGAGAGGAGAATACAAAATGAACTGCAACAACGGGTTTCACGTACAATTTTGTGTCGTTTGCCGTTGCGATTTTGAGTCAAGTGTTTTCGATGACATTGATATGATATCAGGAGCAAGGTACGATTTTGTGGATGTGTTGTGCCCTTTGGATTGTGAAACACGGCTTTCTATTTCCCTGCTTAACTTTCGCGCAATCATGCGAAGCGCAGACCTACATGCTGCGTTCCAGTAGTTCTTTGGAGTTACAACCTTGGAAGAATAAGAAGAAACGGGGCTAGCACGTGCTTCGTTCCATGCCGCGTTCCAGCGTTCCATTCAATTGCCAACCAACTGCAGTTTCCGACCGCTGTTACAAGCAGAACCACTGCCAACTGTGTTCCATTGGGGTTGTAACAGTTGCCAGCTACAACTTCCAACACCCTTTAAAAGCGGACACAGGGAGCGCCCCGTTGGCGTTTTGAACGGGCACATATGATTTTGCATGCCGAGATCCTTTTTGACTGAGGCAACCAACCAACTCCAAAAACATACACAACTCATGAACACGTGCTGCGTTCCATGCCGGCTTAGAAAGGTTGGAAGGGTTGCGTTGCTTGCAGAGTAGGTTCTTTCCTGCCAAGTGCACAGTGACGGCTTCCGCAGCTGTGTTTGAATTACGCACCGCCACCACCACCAGCACAGATTTGGCCTCACATGTTTCAGGTCTCCACCGCATGTAGCCCGTCGTGCAGACCTTTGGCGCACGTTTTGGCTGGAGGGCGCAGCAGGGAGTGTCTGATGTGGCTGAAATGCGGCCGCAGTTGGATTGCTCAATTTGGAACCCAGGATCCCCGCAGAAAGCGGCCGTGTCACGGATTTGCCAAGCCTTGGCTGACCCTGAGTCAGTCTCTTAAAGCGCTCCTGCCCAGAACGGCACTATCCTGAGTGCGGCCCCTTTTTCAACTTGGGTGGCCATTCTTATGAGGCAGAGACGATTCTTAAGTTTTGCAAACCAAACTACATGGGGTTAACCTGAACCTCCCGCTGGCAGAGATGTTGGCGCTTGGACTAGTCTCAGGCCAGCTGATCGCAGGCCTATCCGCTATGCCCCGAATACGCCAAGCCATGCATGAGAAAGGCTGTTGCGGCTTAGGCGTCGGAGTGATTGGATGCTGCGGTTAAGGTGAGACTCAGGGAAGCATTGTGGCCCTCAACTGTCCACTCTAGAAGGCTCTCGATCAGCTTTGTACACTTGAGGCTTCTCAGCACGAAGCACCAGTCATGGAGGTAGCTATGTCGCGGTCGGCAAGAGACGTTTTTCTTTATGCTACTGCAAGACCTGAGTTGGTTTCGCTTGCAATGTTCCTTAAACCTTTTTGACACATTGTATTGGCAGGTGTCATTGCCTGTGCAGGGGTGAGTCTTCCATTTTGTTTCAACCAAGCCGATCAATCTTCATTCGCCCTGGCCGGTGCCTACTGCCTCATGGCAGACATGCCGCGACCATGCACGACGGGCTATGTGTTTACCAGGTCAAGAGTCAAAAGGGTCAACAGGGTCAACGAGATGGGATGGGTAATAATGTGCCAGGACAGACGTGGTTTCCTCTAGTCTCAGACGTGGTGTCCTCTAGTCTTGCAAGCGCCGCTCAGGTCAAAGCGCCCGAAAAGAGAGCTGTGAGCGGCAGAAAAGCAAAACCCTCGATCCCAGCCGGTGTGACACCGGCCAGCAAAGAACGGGACAGGTTTGGCCAGTAGGAAGGGCATATCCTTGGGGTTGGGGCCTGGCTTCACTTGGGCAGAGCTGCACTGTTCGTGTGATAGTCGTCAATATGATGCCTTGGACTGTAACTGCTGGCGCGCCACGGCATGGGTTGGTGGCAATGTGCCGGTAGGCATGAAGGTTACGCGGGAGCGATCACAGGGCTTTTGTTGAAGTCGTTGCTTTGCGCACACGGGGCCAAGAGCCGTGTCGAGGGAATCGGAACCTTTGAAGCAAGCAAAGCAATGGAGAGGTAAGGGCCAGGAAAGATGTCGTTGTCAGACAATCCCTTCACGTTCTTTGAAGCTAAGCAGCATAGAGAGGGGGTATGGAGGTCTATCAATGAGTCACTGAGCTCGACATGGAATCGGAGGTGCCATCTACCTACAGTTAGTTGGTTTTTCCGCAACCGCGCTTAGACATTTCACTGCGCCATCCAGCGAAGCTTTGGATGTGGAGTCCAGGCGCACTTGTTCTGTATGCTGTGCTCGTCTCGATGTCATACTGCGAAGGGCATCACTTTCCCCGCAACATGAAACTTGGCTGGTACATGCTCACATGCTCTTTCAGCACCACCATTTCCAGATGAGCATGTTTTCAGCAGCGCGCTCTAGACGACCCACCTTGAACACTATATACATGCCACGTAGACATGCATCAGCTCAACATCACTGTTGTTCAATGCAGCACACCCAGATACAGAGTTTTCGCAAATCAAATCTCTCCAACCTTCTTCGTCCCTCCCCTTATCTAGGGGACATGGCGCTCTTCCCGTGCCTGCCATGGCCGTGCCTGCCGCGGGTTGCCGACCGTTCCGCGCCTTCTGCGCCTTCCGCTTCAGCGCCAAAGGCGCGAATGTGGGAGGACCGGCTGGCGGCCCTGCAGGAGGAGCTGTGGTTGAAGCTGCTGCGGGGGCCCCAAAGCGCAAAGCGAAAGGCATCGACACCGGCTTGGCACTTGAGGCGGTTTCTGGCTAGGGCTTGAGCTTTGGACCGTTTTCCCTATGCCCTCAAGACACCCACTAATAGAAGCCAAACCATCAGGCCAGTTCGGTTGGACAGATTTCATGGGGCAGCAAAACGTGTGACCCGGGAGCACAGGTGGCAGCTGGCCCCATTAGAGCTGGCGGCGATGTCTGTTACCAGCACAGGCGGACGGCAGGGCCGGAGAAGGAGCCCCCCAAAGGGCAGGGGCTTTGTGGGAATAGTTGCTGGGTGCAGCATTTTCTTTTGGAAGGTTCTTCCCACTCAGCCGGGGGTGCGCAGCAAATGTGGAGCTGGAAAACTTGCTCTTGGCTGAGAATTGTCACGCCTGCTGTTGTCGCAACAGGCCAATGTAATTCTTGGGGTGGCATTGATTTGAATTCAACTACGGAGCCTGATTTACTTGCTCTGCCGTGTGCAGCCCACTCCAAAGTGACACGACTTGGAGCTTGGCCTTTGGCTTGCACCCTGTCAGCGACAAATCAACATGAAACCGGGCGGGGGCATTCCTCCAGATGGTTTTGCGGGGTCCATGCTGATCTGCAGAGACTCTGAATGGGGAACTCCTAAAAATGTGTTTTCTCCTTTGGATCCCCTTGGTTGGCCTTCAAACTCGCCTCCTCGGAGGAAACACCCTATCAATCTGCGAGGTTTATGAATCCGTCAACAAAGCAAAATAATGGTTGGGACCCAAAAGCAGGCAAACTCAAACAGACCATTTGGTTGGGACGCATATATGTCCGTTTTGTTTTTGGCATTGCTTTGGGGCACGAAAAGCCGCCCATGATGGAGGCCCTTGTTCTCTTCCGCTCCCGTTTCCTTTCTCCGTTTTTTTGCCCCCCCCCCCCCCCACACACCCCGAGTTGGGTGTGTCTTAAAATGGTTGGGACACACCTTTTTTTTGGTTCCCCATCCCTTTGGGCACCAAAAGGGACGAGACGCACCCAGGCCTCCGCGCCCGGCAGCGCGCGGCGCTGGCGGGCACCTGGGGCCGCCTGGGCCTGCGGGCGTGCCACGCCCTGGAGGCGAGCCGCGGAACCGCTGGGCTTCGAAGGGTGGGTTGGGTTGGGTCAACATGCAGAAGTTAAAGACAGATTATATGCGCACATGCAAATATGTATAAATAAATACATACATATACACATATTTGATACATAATATGAATATTTGCATATGTGCATATGAAAACTCCAAGATGAAAGCCATGAAGTGAAGAATCAGACCCAGTTGTCAGAAGACAAGGCAAGCTGGCAGTCGCGTCGTGCGGGGCTTGCTCATGTTCGAGGCATGGCTGAATGTTTGTTTTATGTTTCCCAGGGGAGAACCGCTGCAATCGCCCGACGTAGCCTGGATTGCCAGTGGATTCACAGGCTTGAAGCAGATCACCTGTGCGGGTGTGAGGAGTCGCGCCCAAAAAAAAAAAACCTAAAAAAAACAAAACCAAAAAAAACACAAAAAAATAAAAAACAAAAAACAACAACAAAAAACACGTGGCTTTTTGGGCCCGGTGGGTTCCAGGTGGGTTCCAGGTTCGCGGGGGGGGTACAGGCCCCGCTGCTGGCCTTCGCCTGGCTGGGCACCTCCCGCGTGGCCAGCGGCGAGGACGGGGTTGGGTTCGGTTGGGTTCGGCTCGTGGCTCGGTGGGTTTTGGCCTTGGCGGTTTTGTTGCTCTGGCTTTGCGTGGTCGTAAGGGGCAAGTTGAGGATTCGGGTGGTGGGGTGGGTAAGATTGTGAAGCTAGGAAGCCAAACATGCCTAGCAAGACTGCCAAAAGATGGATGCTCAGCTTTATGTTGCCTGAATTCCAGCGAGCGCTCTTGGGGTAAGATGGGTCAACGCACCTGATGCCAATTGTTTGCTGGGTGATCCCTTCTCAGGGTTTGTAAACCATGCGGCCCACCCATGAGGTATACTTCTGCCTTTTTGCGAGTTTCACATTGGCCGCGGCATGTTCTGGGCTTTGGAGTCGAAAGCTCAAAATGGTAGCCTGCCATGCGCGACACAACTTATTGGCAAAGCATCGCTGACTTAGTGAGAGTGGATCACGAAACAGCACCAGCAAACAGGGTTGGTAGCTTGCATAAAAGGCTGATTTGCAAGCTTGCCAGACAAATCGTAGCAAGGACACGATCAAGGCCTTTTCCCTGTAGCGTTCACTAGTTGCTGTTGGTAAGCGCATGCCATGGGCGATCTACGCATCTGAGTCGGCCAGATCCTCTGATGGGTTCCCCTTACAATTTTCTGCGATGTGCAGACACGGCTGTGTGCTTAAGGGATGTGTCCTCATAGCTGCTGATCTGACGCGTGGGCTCCACCTCCCCCATCCAGCGCGCGACGCCTGCGCGCTTCCCCGCGCGGAGTGAGGACGGGTGGGAGACGCTGCTGGGCTCCATGGAGGTGGCAAGGTCCAAGTGGCTGCTGGAGGTGCTGTCACTGCAAGGCCTGAAGGGTGAAACCCACGGGCTCTCAATTTAAGCAACACATGTATATGTGCGTGCATATAATTGCACACACACATTATATATATATATATGTCTATGTACACCACATATATAAATTACATATATGTTAGGTGTAGTGTGTGTGTGTGTGTGTGTGTGTGTGTGTTTGTTTTGTGCTTTTGTGTGTATGCGTGCGCAGGTCTGACGGTGGGTTATTTTGGGCCATTAGAAGGACCGTCCAGGGAGACGGCGACGTAGGGAGCGACCCTTTGGTTCATGAGGTACCAATGTGGCTGAGCGGAACAGTAACCCTAGGTGAGCTTCTTCTTGTCACAGTTGCAACAGGCTGTTGACAGTTGGCCAACGCCAAATGCTGGCAGAAGACATCGCGACTTGAACTGTTTCGTGGACTGCTGCTCAATTTGGATAAGCTACAGGGCCCGGTAGATGACAACCTCAAACCAATATACCGGAAATCTGAGTCATCAGTTCTTTCTTTGGCCAATGTTCTTTTCACGCTTCACCACCAATAGATTGGTCTGGTTCGGCTGTGTTCCTTGGCGTTGCTTGCTTCAAGGAGGACGTCCCTGACCTTGTCAAGTTCAGACGGGACTCGAGCTGGGTATCTTGCAGGCTTCGACCCATTCTCCGGTGTGTGTGTGTGTGTGCGCCTTGCAAACATGTTGTAGCCCATAAACAGGCGCATGCGGAGCAAGGATTGGAGGCATGAACTGCCCTGACCCAGCGGGATTCTGTCCATGATGTATTTATATATATATATATATATATCAGGCATGCTGGCGGTGGGCGTGGCAGACCAGCGTCTGAAGTCCAACGCGCTGCTGGGCGCCTCCAGCAGCAGGCGAAACAGGGCATGCGGGCAGGAGATCGGAGATCGGACCCAAGCGACCAGCGGGGCGATTCAACGATTCAACCCCCCAACCACTTGTTTACAACATGGCTCAAAGGCTTCAACCACCTTTGCATCAACGATTCCATGCCGCAGCCTTTAGCTCCCACCAGGTCCTGGGGCTGGGAGCTAACTCGGAAGGGCATTGAGGCGGCTGCTTGCCTGAATGGAGGGGGGGGGGGGGGCGTGAAGGGCTGCACGGGCCCCTGGAGGGGGCAGGTTTAGCCAAGCTGCGATTTCTTCAAGTAGCTTTTGGATCCAATTTCAGCTGTTGCGCCGTGTTATGCTCAAGACTCAGCCTTTTCTACCTGACAACAGACGAGCTGACGTGCTGTTGTGTGATCCTACGCATTCAAGGTGGTAGTGGTCAGCGCAGCGGGCACTGGCCAGCCAATGTCCACGTGTGGTTAATACATTCCCCAGTCATAGTCAGTTTTTGGCCAGCCTGGGCCTATTTAAGAAACGCTCAAAATAAATCTGATTGTTTTCCTGGTTGCCAAGCCAGAAAGAGAGAACGCGATGCCAGGCTTTCTCACCCAGAAGCGTGGTTTCTGTGTGTGGTTTGTTTGTTTCAGTTTGATTTTTTTGGGGGGGGGGATGACGACTATTTCAGACAGCGAGTTTCTTAAGCACTGCGAACACTTGTGTTACCTCCAAGCATGTTTTTCTTACTAAGCTGCGATGACACATTGCCTTGCAAGGCAGGGGGGGAATTCATTCCAGGCGTGTTGAGTGGTCACTGACTTAGCTCACGACCCTAGGTCTTTGCAGTTCTCCTCATCTTCAAAACTTTCAGAGTTTCTGGCGTCCTCAAGAACCTTTTTTCTTATTTCTGCCCCTGAAGCAGTCGCGCAAAGAGTCGGATACATAGGGGCCGTTCCCACTAAATCGCAACTCTACTCCCGCGCTCCTAAAGTAGAATTGTTTCGGGGTTTTATTTGAACCTTGCCTTTGAGTGCTAAACTAAATGGAGCAGAGGGCTAAATAGCAGCAGGAAGCTTCAGCAATACTGAGTAGATACTCAACGAGCAACACTAAGTAGACTCAAGCAGTTGGACAGTTTGGAATTGGAAAGTCAACTGTAGTTTCACCAGCAAGTTTCAGTAATTCAAAGGGACTGCGCACGGAACTTGAAGATATCCTTAGGCTGCAAAAATAAGTAGAATACTAAAGCAAAAGGAAAGACGTCAATTTTAGTCTCAACAGCCGGCTTCAGGAACACGAGGGACATGGCAAGCGAAAATTCGACTGCAGGAAGAGCGAATGAAGAATCAAACCACGTTTCAGCCGACAATTTCAGCGATACAGAAGGGAAGGGTGAGGCAAATGGAGCGTCAGTGCAACAGGAATACTAAAGTGAGTGGAAGCTCAAAGTTGCTCTTGGCAATATTTGGCAGCACTAAATCTGCCAGTGATTGAACTGGCTGTTTCCCTTTGACCCACCACTTGGGGGTGACTTTGATCATGGCAACATAATGAGGCCAGTTGAAGGAATCCGTTTGTTTACAAGGCTGATCTCCCGGCGGGCGCCCTGTCCACAAGGCGCAACGCCAAGAGAACAGCGAGGCCAAAATCTGTGGATGGACCATATCCTGCACCACTTTGAAATCATGGGAAATGACTATTCGTTGATATTTACAGGGGACCAGCCACATCAGCATCACCCGGGCTGAGGTGGCCTCCTCTGCGGTGCCAGGCGCCGCGCGGATGGCGCCTTACTCGCTGGAGCCTTCGGAGGGTGCCGTGGCACAAGGGGCCCAAGGCGTTTGAGGAAGGGAGGCAGAAGGACCAGCAGTTGGCTTTTGTGTTGCTTTCGTTGCCCTTGGCTCTAAGACGCGGCTTGCTTTTCCCAATGGCACAAGACATCTTTGGCTCGGAAGGTTTCGAGGCAACGCGGCCCCTCGGTCCCGGTGCTGGCGAGGCACTCGGATCATCCTAGTGCTGGAGCTCTCCAGCAAGGAGGGGCTGATTCGATGCATGTTTGCAGCCATAGGGCAGGGTTTGCTGCAATCCCTGTGACCCTCAATTTCGGTAGTTAACTGGTCATGGGGAATCCCAGTAAGATACATGTAGTGTCGAGTTTTGAAAGCAAGACGAGCAGAAAGAGGTTTCAGTTTGCGTTAGCTGGCAAGATACTTGCACGGCTGAACTCAAGCTTTGCCCCCGAAAAACTACGCCCCGAGTCCACAATGCCCCACCCTTCTCCCCCTTCTCCTCTCGCCGGTCCGGTGGACTCGTAGCCGGGACCGCTGCAGCCACAGGAGGGCTCGGAGCGGCTGGACCTTTCAGTGCTGCGGCTTGGACTGGGCGGCGGGTCCTGGGAGCCGTTGGGGCGCCACATCTTCCGACGGGAGGAGGCCTTCCACAAGGTTTGGGCGCAGGGTGGGATTTGAGGACTCCCTTGAATCACAGGGCTCCTTAAAAGATACATTTGGCCCATTTGAAACATGTTTTTTTCCACCAAAAGAAAGGGACACCGCCATTTACAAGGCAATGTTCAGGTGTATAATGTAAGGATCTCTGTTGAAGATGAGTAGGAACTGCCGGAGGGAGGTTCTATGGCACCCTTGGAGGCTGGGCCGGCCAAGCAGGGCTGAGATCTGTTTTCCAGGGAGCGCGCCCACGGTCCCGACGCAGTTGTTGTCTTTCGTGTTTTGGGTGCCCACACAGTCCAAAGAGCACATCCAGGTCACCCCCCCGGCATGTGACTCCAGCGCGCAGTTGAAGCTCCGGCCGGCTGTGTCGGTGGACGTCGGGGCGGCAGTGCGGGTGCTGTCGGAGGATCTCTGCTCCTCTTGGCACGAGAGCGTGGGGCCCCTGCCTGGTGTGTCAGGGTTGTGCTTGGACGTGATTTCTCAGCAGGGCTCAAGGCACCTAGATGTTATGGAGTGCCTGGCAATCTGAAACTTGTAGGTCCAGAAATCTTTAATGTGAATGTAGATTAAAGAGAAAGATATTTCAGGGTTTTCACAATTCTCAAAGACCCCCGCAGCATACCGTCTACCAATCCTAGTAGCATGTTATTTCTTTATTTTGTTTTCATAGTGTCCATTCTCTTCCTTGTCTTCGTACGAGCAGAAACGCGACGAGGGAAGAGGCATGGCGATAGGATGGCGAGCTGCATGGGCAAGTCATCTCCCAGTCATCTCATTTGTTCCTGTACGCGCAGCGGGGGCAAACTCCGCACCCGGCCATGCAAAAAGAACTTCTTTCAGGCTTGATATTTTTTTGGGGGTAGCTGAGAGGGAGAGAGAGTGAGAGAGAGAGAGAGAGAGAGAGAGAGAGCAACAAACGTGTGTGTGTGTGTGTGTGTGTGTGTGTGTGTGTGTGTGTGTGTGTGTGTGTGTGTTTGAAGTTTGCACCAAGGCTGGATGCCTCGCTGAAGGGTGGACAAAAGGATTGCCTGCGGGTTGCGGAAGTCAGATATCCGCATGGAAGTGGAGACCGGGCAGACGCTGTACTTCTGAACCTGTCTGCCCAGCGGGACAGGCTTCGCACTCCCCTACAGGAGCCACCTATATCCTAACCAATCACAGCTATGTCCGGCCACATGAATCCATGTTGTCACTGGCGGTGGCGGTCAACATGACAAGGTTGTGGGGGTTGGGGTGGGAATGAATGTGAGACGGCCATGTGATAGAACTTGACGAAGAGTCGGGGTCGCCCAAACCGTGCTGAAATGTACCCCAACTAGCTAAAGAAGCCCCAAACTAAACCAACCTCAAACAGCTGATCATGACGCCAAACGCAACTTGCCGCATCTCGGTTTGGCTCGACATTAGCCTGCCAAAATATGAAAGCGCCGGGGCATGCATTTCTCAAGGGGAAGCCCGAAATGGCCCCGAATCTCGGACACGCAGTGGGCACTCGGATGAAGCCGCTGAGCGAGCCCTTCTGTTTGAAGCAAACAATCATCAAACTTTTGAGCTTCAATCCGCATAGCTTCGGGCAGCCTCAGTTTCGCCTGCGTGTTGCGCCTGTGATTCTCAATTTGCCATCACTGGCCTTTCCAAGCCGCTCTGCGGGATGACGAACCACACTGGTGGGTCCCCGCGTGGCTCCCCAGCAGCGAGGAAAGAGCCGGACGGGCACGGCATGCGGTAATGCAAGTGGAAGCTCCCGGCCTTCAGCCCTGGCCACTGAGCTTTGCAAGCTCAGAATTGCTTCATGTTGACCCACCCTGTCAATCCAACCCAGCAACATGCCACGGTATAGAGCCATGTAGCACAAGACGCTCACAAAACGAGAGGCAGTCCACACGCACAGACAGACGGACAGACAGACAGACAGACAGGCAGGCAGGCAGGCAGACAGGCAGCCAGGCAGCCAGGCAGGCAGCCAAACGCAGGCAGACAGGTAGACAAGCGGACAAGCAGACAAACAAGCAGGCAAGAAAGCAAACAAGCAAGCAAGCAAGCAACCCGGCCCAGCCCAGCCCAGCCCAGCCCAGCCCAGCCCAGCCCAGCCCAGCCCAGCCCAGCCCAGCCCAGCCCAGCCCAGCCCAGCCCAGCCCAGCAAGCAAGCAATCATGCAAGCACGCAAGCACGCAAGCAAGCAGGCAAGCCAGCCAGCCAGCCAGCCAGCAAGCAAGCAAGCAAACACGCACACACAGACGCGCACATACACACATGGGCGCATAAAGTAGGCATATTACACACACGTACATTCGCGCATATGCTATATGTCTGCATGCAGATGCACGAGTGCAGCATGCATGCATCTGCGTTCACACACACACATACACACACACACATGTGCATACATGCATGCATGCATCTTTCGTGGATGAGGCCTCGCAGCAAAGGAACCAGCAACTTCATTCCCGCCGCTGGATGCTGAGCTGCGTCCGGAAGATGGATGCTCTAAGTTTCGAACATTTTGCTTGGCCGGTCACTTGACAGTCGCCAAGCTGCGAGGGCGCAATGCTTCAGCACGTGCTCGCGGCTTGCTTGTTGGAAGTGAGGGGCCCATTGTGAATTGTTTGACGAAGGCGAGCCACTTGTTCGGGGCCCAAGAGCCGTGCTGAGGTTGGGAACTTCAGTGCCGGGGCCCCGGCGCTGCGATTCCAGAGAAGCGCCGGGTTTGCGTTGGGGGCGTGTTTGTTTGTTTGTTTGGTTGGTTGGGTGGGTGGTTGGGTGGTTGCTTCGTTGGTTTGGTTATTTGTTTGTTTGGGGGTGGGGTGTTGGTGGGGGTAGGCGAAGATTTGGTGGGAGATGTTGCCGAAGGCCTAGCTTGTCGAGCTAGTTGAGCCTCATGAGCTGTCTGGCTGTGTTGGCCATGGTTGGGTTGGTTTGCTTGGTTTGGTGGGTTTGGGGTGGCCATGCTCAGTCCCCTCATTTGTTTCCTGTCTTGTGGGCTGACTCTCACCCCTGGGTACTGCCAAGATTCAGTACAACTTCACCTCGGCCTCTGCGGCGGCAAGCTTCATTAGTGACCCAGGCCCATGCCTCAGTTGGCTGAACTTCCTGATGAGTAGGGCTGGTGATTGCAAGCGGGCTATGAGAAGAAAGATTTTGGGTGGGGGAGGAACTTCTTGTGTTTGAGCAAGCCTTTGCTTTTTGATCTCGACTCAACGCAACGAACATAGAAATCATCACTTCCTATCAATTCACAAACCACTGATCACACCTACTGACCTGACGATGCCGCTGCTCGGAACCAGTCAGAACGACAGACGACGGACATTGCAGGGTAGGTTTTGGTCCAGCACCGCGACTGCTGGCCCGCTCGGCTGCTAGCCCGACTGTCGCGCCAGCGTAAAGCCTTCGAGGGATGTTGGGCAGGTTTCCTCACGATGACCTCGATCGAACTACCAAAGCCTTTTCACCCACCGCAAAAGCCGGCAAATCGAGAGGGGCTGCATCTGCACAGGCTACCTGGGACACCCTTTGCGCCAGGCAGGGGTGCCTAGCATGTGTCAGGTGGGGGCAGGCTGTGATGCAGAACCAATAGATTTCCTTTCGTTGCTCTCAAAGAGAAATCTTAGAGGGGACGGGGCATTTGGGGGGCTGGGCTTGAATGGCAACCCCAAGCCGGGCCCAGTCTCAGAGTACCAATGGACCAATGGTCTGCCATTTCATTCAATGAACTTGTAAGGCCCCGGCCTGATGGTCCCTGGGGGATCTGAGGCATCTAAGTTTTAGAGGCTTCATTCCCAACCATTCGCTTGCGTGCTCTTCATCCGAATGCTCCAGCCAACTGACCCACAGCTCCAGCGTCTGGTCTCATATCCCGACTTCAATCAGTACATTCCAACCGACACGCGCTATTTTCCGGAGAGTGGTCGGGGGGCGTTGTTGAATCTAGGCAGCCTGCTACGGGCTTCCAGCGTGAGCTTCCATGTTTTGTAGCTGGCAGGATCCTCGGATCAGAGTTGCATAGCCCCCCTCCTCAAACAGACAAATAAGAAAGAACCAACAAAAACTAAGGCCTTGTTAGGGTCTGATTTTTGGGAACCCCGGGGGGAGGGCTTGGGGTAGAGTTGAAGGGCTTGAAATGAGAAGTCCCAGTCGCGAATCCTTCAGGAGCCGCAGTGGAGCAAGGCCGCGGCCTGAGAGAGCGGTTTCAGCTTCCGAGCCAAAGCCCGGTGCGCAGCGAGGTGTTTTTTCCTTTGCGGGGGGGGGGGGGGATTCATCCTGAAGGCAGGGTGGGGACCCCTTTTGTTGTTTGCAAGGCAGTTTGGGTTTCTGGGCACTTCTGAATGGAGGTGCTTGTGATTTCTGGAGTTTGGCTACACGGTTGACATTCGCGCTTGGAAGAAATCGTCTTGGATCGGCTTGGAAGACGTTGAGCCTGCTTCTAGGACTTGACGCCCGCAGCAGTCTTCCTGGGTGCGATGCTCGGGATGCTCTTTATGGGCCGTGCGGGGCCTCGGTCAATGCTGGGCAAGGAGGGCCTGGTTTGCCCGGGCGGCTCCCCATTTCCCTTGTCAGCTGTTCTGTTTGGGCAAGTTCTATTTGGGCAAAATCTAATGGGGGGTATGCGAGTGGGACAAATTGAGGGCTTGAAGAATTCGCATTGAGACATAGTGCGCGACGGCTGAGGCGAGTGGTGTTGCTAGATGGTCCCAATGGCTGTCCCATTGCGCAACGGTCAATGCGGAGACTCCCTATCTCCCGCCGCCCTTCTGACTTTGGCCACCCGTGAAAGGGCTCAATCTCGTAGCTGGTGCCCAAAAATCCTCTTTGGGACATTCAAGTCTGTGGCTTTACTGTATGGGGCATCTAGCAAGGCCTGGGGGTTCTTTATTGCAAGTCCCGTTGGAAGAAGGGTGGGCAGTGGCTTAGGCACCTGCTGAGCTGATCTGAACAATCCTTTGTTTGGAATGGCCCCGTGTGATCAAAACGAGCCAGCGCCCGCCTTGGTGTAATCTTTAAGTTATGGGCTGAGTCCCTGATTCATGCAGCTTTTGAAAGCTAAAGCGCAAGCAGAGCTGACGTCCCAATGGGCCAAAAAGCCGCCTTGGATTTTCTGCAAGGCACAGGTTCTTTTGATAGTTTGCGTCTCAAGTTTGCTTCAGGACCTGCCCGACTATCACAGGAACGTGGCAGTCACCTACCTAGCCTTGCACCAAAGGGGTCTCAGACAAACCTGTTTATCCCCGAAGTTCCCTTCCGAAGAATCAAGCGCACATGTCGCAAACTCGCGAGGTCTTGGCGACACGCTGGGCCGGACTCGGGCGATGCAGGCGCGTGCGAGAATGCGCATGCTCCAGTCGATGAGTCTGAGTGCCATGGGCTCCAAGGTCCCATTGCTATGCAACCATTGCTATGACTGGGCTAGCGATCTGCAAGACCCAAAGGACGCCCAGCTTCCATTGTTCTTTTTTGGGGGCGATCCCTGCTTGGGGGGCATAAACAGGCGGTGGCCGGTCCCCATCCACGGCCTGTTTCCATGCCAAGTTTCGTCAGGTGACGCTGGCTTTCACGGTGCTGGGTTCCCTGATCCCTGCGTGCTGCTTCGGCGGCGACTCAGCCGTGTGGGGCCACCCGGGGAGATGGACGCGCGGATGGGCTGATGGGCAGAGCAAAGAGCCGCGTGTTACGTGTAAAGTGTAAAGTAGGGAAGAGGCTGTCACCCACATTTCAAATCATTGCCAAGGTGCTGAGGTAGATTGTGCCCTATGGCACCATGGCATTCCTGGATCTTTTCAAGGTTCGTCGGTCATGTTCGGCTGTGTGTGTGTGTGTGTGTTTGTGCTTTCTTCTGACAATTTGTGGTCTGATTGGTCGCTTTGCTTGCGCGAGTGTTTTCGCTTTTTGTTGCTCGCTTGCTTGATTGCTTTTTGATACTGAGCCTCCGCAGCTGGTGACGAGTCAGAACTGTCTCAGTCTATGGGTCACTTGATCTTTCAGGAGATTCCACCGGCTTCAGGCCAATTATATTGCTTAGATTTGTGGCTTGCAAGTCACTGTTGTCTTGTTTGTCTAACCGGTTTTGCATCGGCCCGGGCCCGCTGTTTACAAGTGTCTGCAAGTTCAGGTTGCGCAACACGCCGGGCCATGAGAATGACTACCTCGTCAGACTGACACTGTCACTGTGCAGCATCATGCTCTTACAAGCGACCACACGCATCAGAAACCGCCCGCCAACCCACCTCGTTGCACGGCAACTGGCCAGGCAAAGGCCACAGGTCACCAACCGTTGACCACTGCCAGCCTTGACGCAGAGCATCTGGTTGAAGAACTGCCCACCAAAACATGAGGTGGAAGGACCATCAATGGCAAGGTAACGACTGATGCTCACCGATCATGGCTCACCGATCATCGCTAGTAACAATGCCTGTAGCTCTCAACCAGAGCTGAAGTCGCCCGTACTTGGGTTGCAAGGCGCGGTGGGGCCATGTCGATGCACCTTGTCATTGGCAGGTTGCAACCTTTCGGTGCGTATCGGTTCCTTCCACCTCTTTGCCCCGCCCCTCCCCCCCCGCCACCTGTCTGGCCTGTATGCCCACGCCCACAATGGATGCCGAGCGCTGCCTGTGAACCGGAGGTTTGGCATCGTGATGCTGGGCCGCCTGATTCTGGGCATCGGAGTAGGCTGGGAGGGCAGAGGTGGGGAGCGGGCGCAGGATCTCTCAACAGGACACCTCAAGCAAAGCGAGCCGCATCACAGAAGGAAGATTGAGCAAAGAAGCCATAGATGCCGGTGAGAAGCACTTCGGCTCTGTCGAGGGGACTTTTTTTTCTTTAGCAGTGTTCTCTTTGAAAATCCAAGAAGGGCCAGGCCAGGTTTTGGTGAAATACCCATGTCAACCACCAGCCAGAGGGTGATTAGCCGCCCCTTTGCCAACCCCAAAGCATGGAACACCACGTGGTGACTCACACTTCCCTGCTCCGGCCGGGTTGGGATTTCAGTGCATACCAGGGGGCATCTACCCACTTTCTGCGGTGTCATCCGCGGAAGGCTGCGAGGACGGGGGTGAAAATCAGGGTCCGGTCCAGGACAAACGGATCAGATCCGTGGCAGGGGCGCACGAGCGAATAAGGGAAACCGCTTTCTTCGGCCACCGGGACAGTCTCTTTCTTCAGCCGGAAGGTGACATCCCCGACCGCTTGTTTCGAGCCCGCCAGATGCGTGCGGGACTGCCCACAGCCAGTTGGGCCCCTTCAAAACGCTTGGTTTCCCGGCAGATCCCGGGAGCCTTCGAGGCTTCGGAGCAACCTAAGTCAGAGACTTGGAAGGGATGGCTTTGTCGTCATGGCCTCAGGAGGCAGCGGAGAAGGGCAAGCACGTTGGGCAAGCTGCAGCCTGAGCGGGAGCGTAGCTATTCCATCACTTGCAAGTCCATCATTCGGGCGTATCCCCAAATTATGGTCCCTGGGCATGTTTGGTTTCGTGTTCGGCTCCAAACGGTTTCGCCTACAGCGGGGCAAAGACGTGGCTGTTGGATTGGCCAAAAGTTCAGTTTGGGAGCGAGGAGTTGTCAAACGGAAGTGGAATGCGGAACAGAACGACCTGGCGCATGCCGAACAGATAGCACAGGGAAGGACCTGGCACGGCTGAGGCCTTCTTCTTCCAAACCGTGGGCCAGGTTGCGCCCTACGCCCATGCCTTGGCGAGAGGTTTGTGGTTGCTTACCGGTTGACGTAGGTGACAAGGGAATCAAAGGCAAAAATGCGCTCATGCAAGGGAAACGGAGGATGCCCAGGGCTATAAATCCCAGAAGGGGTCGCTGAGCTGAATATATCTGTAGGAGGTACCATGGAATATGACCTCTCCTTGTTCCCTACAGCCGCCTCCTACTACTACTGTTGCTGCTGCTACTACTACTGCTGCTGCTACTGCTACTGCACCGACAACGACGACAACGACACCGACGACGACGATGACGACGACGACGACGACGACGACGACGACGACGACGACGACGACTACTACTACTACTACTTACTTCTACTTTTAGTTTCACTTCTAGGTCTTCTACTACTACTACTACTACTACTACTACTACTACTACTAAAGCTACTAGTACTTTTGCTCATACTTCTACATCTACATCTACATCCACTTCTAGCTCTGCGTTTAGTTCTACTTCTAGTTCTACTTCTACGTCTACTACTGCTACCATCACCACTACCACTAGAACTAGATCTAGTACCAGTACTACTCCTACTGCTGCTACTTGTCCTTCTACTTTTGTTCTACTTCTACTTCTACTTCTACTTCTCTTGCTGCTGCTACCGCTACTGCTGCTGCTGCTACTGCTACTGCTGCTGCTACTGCAACTGCTGCTTCCATTTTGACTTTTACAACGTCGACCACTACTAGAGATGCTTCTTCCAATAGACATTCTTCAACGTTGCTGGCGCTTTCCGGAGGCTTGGAAGACACGGTCGGCGAAAAGGAACTGCAGGTTGTTAACCATTTGATAGAACTAGCAATGCCTCTGCCCACTTTCTGAGCCTTTGTATACTGCCCCGAGACGTCCCCAGTCCCAAGCGAGAAAGGGGGACAGAGCTGCACACAAGTCTTTTAACGTGACTTCGCGCGCCGTTCCGCCACGAAGCCAAGACATGGAAGGACAAGGGGAGTCCTCAGGACAGATAAGGGGAGATTGGATAAGCTGACGGCATCGCAGTTGGTAGCTGCCCTGCTGCTGGTCCTCTTCCAGCCCAACAGCCCGGCGGAGTGGGCCAGGGCCCCAAGCGCCCCAATGCATCTCTCAGTTGGTGGCAACAACTTTTTCCACACCTGGGAAGCAATTGTGTTCCGGCTGAGGACTGACTTTGGAGTTGGCTTTGTAGAATCCACAATGTGGCAGATACCCTGTGCAGAGTGAAGAAGGAGCCCCCGTCCCCTGCATTGCATGAGGGATTTTGTGAAAAAGGAGATGCGCGAGTTGGCGCAATCGTTCTGAGGGCTTTTGCCGCATTCTTCCTTTGGCCGAAATTGAGGAATGCCCTGCCTCGAACCCTTTGGACGCTTTGGCTGAAGGGCAAACTACAGCTGTGGCTGCGTTGGCATCAACCCCTGTCAGCAAAGTCACGGAACCGAGGTGCCACAGCTCCAGTTCCGGCTGCTCTTTGCCCTTGGCGCCGCGTGGTACTTGGGTCAGGGGAACTTTTGCAGTACGGCTTGTCGGCATTCGTTGCTCAGCTAAGTAAGCAGTGGCTGCTTGGAAGGTCACGTGGGTCGCGTGGGCTCCGTTGTTTGATACCTTTACTCCAGACATGCTGCACAGGGGTGCAATGCAGCTTCACTTGCAGACAGGCTGTGCATCACGTGGTTTGCCCTTCGGGGAGCCGCGGAAGGCTTATGGTCCTTCAAATGCAATCCTCACCCGGAACATGAGGCGGTCTGACTGTGGCCACCGCATGAGCAAGAGGTTTCTCTTTACGGGCAAGGCTGTGAATGTTGCCTTTCTCATGGCCCGCATAAAAGGTGCACGGCAGACCTTGCTGCCTGCCTGTCTTTGATGCTTGTCGCAGTCTTTCACCTCAGGCCTCCGTATATGCTTTGATGCGGGCTTGTGCTGCCAACCGCACTTAGCCTTGCACATTCAACGAGTAGATGCACAGCAAACACTTGTGGCGGCCAAGCGGGCGAGAACCAGCCTGCCACACATGGCGCTTGCTGCTATTGCTATTTGCGCCTTGGCCGCAGGGCCAGTGCATGCAATTTCAGAGCGCCATGCTTGTCAGGCGGCTCGGCAGATGGGACACAGATATCATTTGCTTGTCATTTGGCACTCTACTTCCAAAGGCACTTGGCTGTGCTTGCCCTGGTAAATTGAAACATGGACTGGTTTCATTTTGATCCATAACCACTTGCCCCTTGGTCCGCCACTTCCTTTGGCCAAGGCTGGGGGCTCTTCTTCAGCGCCTCGGCCACCCGGCCCTCGCTGAACGACCGCGGCCTGGCATTGCCGGGGGTGGCTGGAGGGCGAGCCACTGATTGATCCGGACGTGTGGCGGGATCCTTCTTGAGCTTTGTGTGACGTGTTTGTGACGTGTTTGTGACGTTCGCTTGCCCAATTGCCTGCTCAAAGGGCCACAGGTTCTTTTGCAAGCCGGGGCTTTGTGGAATCTTGAGGGCTCCTTTTGCACGCTTGATTATTTCCCCACCACGGCCCCTCTTCTGGTTGAAGACCCACAACCCATCAGAGGGCCCCTGATGAGTTTTGACACCGTCATAGCCCACTCCGGCCAAAGGACCCGAAGCTCACCACAGCGCGGCCCAGCCGCAGTGTGGCGATCACTTTGCCAAACTGGCAGAAGCTTCCGGGCAGCTTGGGAAAGCTCTTTTCTTTGACGCCGGTAGGGCAAAAGTGGGGTCTCGGCCCGAGCCCCAATGGCCCCCCAATGGCCCCTTAGCCCGCGAGGTGAAGAAGGCACTCGGGGGGCGCCATCGCGAGCAGGGGCCGCAGCGTTGCAAGGCTCTGGAAGAATATATATATATATGTAATATATATACACGGGTTCCACAGGTTGCAGTGCGGTAAAATAATGTGTAATCCTCCTGCTGTCGGTGTTGTTTTCCAACTGGGAAGAGGAGCGCGTTCAGCGCGGCACGAGAGGGCGCAGCGGGTTGGCATGAAGATGGAGAGAGACGGATAGGCAACTGTTTCCCAGCAGCTGATCTTGTTGACCAGCGTCTGAGGCGCCGGAGGCACAAGGCCCACAGCAAGCATCGCCACCGGCTGGCAGAGGCGCGGGCTTTGAGACGAAGGGTTGGCGGGTGGCCAAACCTGAGCTTTTTCCGCTGGTTGGGCTGGGGGGGGGTCAACATGAGGTGGCTCTTGACTGTCTGCCACTGGCTGATTTGTGGTGACCACCCCCGGTAACAAACCCAAGGCTTCTCGTGGCGTCCTGTCGCACATTGGTCTTCTGTTTCAACGGTGCAGTCAAGAAAGAGCCCGGCGTTTTACCTTCGGGCCTCGTGCCAGCTGGCCTCCCAAATTGGCTTGCTCAACCTCAGAGCAGTGGTTTTCTCCTTTACTGCATATGCGGTAAGCTGAAGTGTGATGCCTGCGCAGAGAGTGAAGTCTATGTCCTAGGCCTTGTGATCTGTTATCCGAGATTTGGCCACGTCAGTGGGCCTCAGTGGGTGGTAAATGCAGAGCGACTTAGAGTAGCAATGCAACGCTTCGGAGACAGTGAACGAACGTGTTCTGGCAGAATGTTTCTTGCACATTGTTTGCGACAGTTTGGCCAGCCGCTGGGCGCAAGCCAATTGGGACATTTCTTGGGGCAACATTGTCGGCTGCGCACACGCGTTCATTGTTTGTTGATGAAGGGGCGTTTCCTGCACCGTGCAGGAGGCAACGGAGAAGGCGATTACACGCAACTCGGGCTGACAGTGCGCATTTGCAAGCACTGCCTTTCATTTTTTGAAGGCGCTGCGACACCTTCCCTTCCCGACTTCCCGCACGTCATGTTATGCCATGCGTCGCCTCAGCCGCTTATGCCACCTTACGCACCAGCCAAGGAAGGAAACAAGAGGCAGGTGAGCCACACGAGCGGCGCCCAAGTCGGCGAAACAGGGGCAAAGCGGCAAAGCAGAATGGGAAAGTTACGCAGTCCTTTCTAGCATTTTGAAAAGTTGGGTCATCAAGGATTTCCCTGTACGTTGTGTAGTTTGTGGGCGGTTTACTTTCAAAAAGTTAACCGTGTGGGTAAACTCAATGTGGTCTACTGGAGCCCACTCACAGCTTGGACTATCGACGTCTCTTTCTGTCCCTGTGGCAATGTCCAACTTGTCAAGGCCTCGACCCTCTCAAAGAAGCCTGAGCATCACAGGACCTGCACCTGGGATAGGTTGCAGCAGACGTGGGGTCGGGAAGCCACGGCAACTGCTTGGCGTTTCGACGGCGCGTTTTTTTGGATATCGTGGGCGGGTTCGCTTGAGCTTGTTTTGTTTTGCACCGCCCAGGAGCCATAAGCATGGGCATCAGCACAAGCGCGGGTACCTGGGCGATGGACATGCGCAAACCTGCCATAGATCGTATGCGAGCCACCAGGATGTTGCCCTTAGCTTATCAGGTTTTTATCACATGACATAAATTGATAAGCAGATCAAACATCACTTCTATAACTTAATCACACATATATATATATGTTATACAGACATGTTCTGCACATGTAGTTGTACAGAACATCGCTCTTTTCAGGCAGATGTGGCAAAGCAGCAGAGGCCCTGACAACAGTTTCACCAAGCCCTCAAAGTTTGCCCATGCTCAGGCACAGCGCGCACCCGCTTCACGGGGCAGGCTGGCCAGATAGAATTCAATCTTCTATGCTCCAATCTCCGGTGCCCTGTAAGCCGACAATTTTCCAATTCAATGCCACCTGTCCATCCTGCACTGCATTGCTCCTTAGATGGTGTTGGGTTTGTTTTTTGTTTCCTCGACCTATTTGGACTCTACCACTTCTGCGTGGATGGCAATCAAACACATGCGACCAGACTCGTGCAAAGCCCATTGCAGCCCCGTCACCTGACATCCTCTCCTCCAGCCGGCGCGTTGCAGGCATGCAGGCTGCATCCCATCTCTTGTGCCATGGCAGAGATGGGGCAAGGTGAACCAGTCATGCTGGCTGATTGTTTGTGTGTAAGGCAGGTTCTGGAGCCAATTCCTGTGGCACATGCTGTTTGCTGCCGACCTATGGAAGCACGATTCCGGCATGCAACAGCACGTTGCGTGTTTTATTTTGGGGTGGGAACCCAGGTTTTCACCAACTGATGAATGCAGAGCGTTGTGTGTTCACCTTGCTTCTCGCCGACAGTAATTGGTGGCTCGCACATGTGCGTTTGAGAAGTTCAGGTCACAAAGCAACACGCCTTGTCCTTGTCTGTTGCTAGCCAGGTTTTCCCAGAGGCTTAGGCCCTGCAAGTAAGCGATCAGCGGTACCAAGGCTGTTGCTTCCGAGGGAGACAAGAGTTGTAGCTCGCTTGGGGTGAGGCTGCCCTCTTTGCCACAGATATTATGAGGGCCCCTCATGCGCAGCGCCCCTGACATCAAACCACTGCTCTTGCGCGAAGGTTGCGATCCATGGTGGCCTTGGCAGGTGTGTGGGGGAGGGGAAGGGAGGTTTCGGAAGGCACTTGCTGGCACCATGAGCCATTGGCCTTGAAGTTTGTAAGTGGCCATAGTTGCTCGCAAAGCTCTGCAAGGGCCCCACAATGGACGGGTTTGCGGGAGCCCACGCAATTCGTGCGGATTCCTCTGGTGCTTGCGGCAAAGCAACCTCGCAATGCAAAAGCTGTGTCAACATCCTTTCCGCTGATTGGCGGCCAGTGGGCACCGCGTTGGACGCTGCCCGCTGGAGCCAGGTTGCGTCCTCATTGGCCGCGGCGTCTTCATGTGGTCCTCGGTAGCTGCTCGGTCGCTTTATGACCAGCAATCGGCGGGCGTGGTGTGTGCTTGGCATGTCGTTTCAGATTAGTTTGATTGAACATGCATTGGACATGTACTCCGCTGTTGAGTGTGGGTCTCCCCATCTAACAGTGAGCCAATTTGATGCTGATCCCGGATTCATACAGCCAGTTTATTATTGGGGGGTGTTCCCCCCCAAAAACGATGCAGCCCCACAAAAAGGGGACACCTTTTTTTTCTTCAACCAGGCGTTTATTCATCCAGAGTTCCCATTCTTCTTCCCCAAACGGACACCCAAAAAGCCCCCATGCGAGGCCTGGACGTCCTGGAAGAAGTGGGCCTCCACGTTGGACCAGGTCTTCCTGGCGCTATGCCTGCCCTGCATCCGCCGCGCGGGCCGCGCGCCGCGCTGAGGGCAAAACGCGCTGAGGAAAAGCGCCGCCCAGAGGCCAGTGTGGTCTTTCTTGCCCGGAGGGGGGGGGGAGGGGAGGAGGGGGGGAGGGAGGGGGGGAGGGGGCAGGGGGGAGGGGGGGAGGCAGGGGTGAGGGGGATGTGTGAAACAAGCTCATTCAGTTGACATGTGCTACCCGCATTTCGGTGGCGCTGTGAAGGTGCGCTGTATTTGCGACCACCTTTATGTCGACTGGAAGTGAAACGGTTGGAGGGCGCTTTGAAACCTAGCACTTGTCGGCATGGAGATCAGACTTCACCTTGCTTGCCCTTGCAGGCGAACCTTTCCACAGTCAGCAATTCCACACAAGGCATCCAACTGCGGATTCGATAGCATGGGGGCATTCCCAAATTTCAGCAAGTTCACCAGTTTGCACATGCTCTGGTGCGGCCAACAATCTGGCGCCCTCCAGGCCTCCGCATTCCACAGAATCTTCCGCACGCGGAAAAAGCCGACAGCGCTGCCACGAATGACGTGGCTACCCATAGCATATGGTTTTGATGCATTCTTCGTGCTGATGCAGCCGCACGGAACTTGTCATATGGCTGGGTCCGCCATGTGATTTCCATGATGGTCCCTGACAAGCGCCGCCTTGGTTGCAGATGTTCTTCGGCCCCCTTTTTGCTTCTCAGACCTGCACGGCATGCTTGCAGCTTTGCTATTGGGTGCCAGCAGGCCCGCCCAAAGCAGAATCCCCGGTCGCTCTTTTCACGAGAGCATCCGGGGTTTTTCGAGATGGGGGGCCACAGGGAGCACTTCACAGGTTCGATGAAACAAACAGATGAGGCAGCGTATCCATGCTTTGGTGTTTCGAGCGCTGCGGCGTGTGGGCGTTCTTTCGCATATAGGGAGCCCTATTTCCATTACGGTTGGTACTGTGGTGTTTGGGCTTTCTGCATTCGGGAAACCAACCGGAAACCTAGAGACGAACCCATTCTTCTTCCGGGTGGTTTCAAGACCTTTGGGAGCTTGGCACCGGCCAGACATCGCCGCTTTTGGTGGGCAAAGAGGACGGTTTGGCGCATGAGTTGTTTGCCTCAATGTTTTGGGTTCGGTGCCAAGGGCCCAGGTCTTTCTGCGCCGATTTTTTGCCAAGCGGCTCGTCTTGTTTGGGGGCGACGCCCCGTCGACCGCGACCGTTTTTTCCGGAGCCCCTCCCCCCCGCCCCCCCCAGGTCCCGGCGCTGGTGGTCTTTGCTGCCTCCTTCAACACGGAGGCGCCCCCATGTGCATCGGTGTATGTGCATCGGTGTGATGAATGTGTATTTTCGTTGTTGAGGTCTTTTTGTTTCGATTAATTGATTCAACATGAATGACTTCTTTAGGGGGAAACAACGTGGGCTACAAAACAAGTGTTTGGTTTCAAGTGTCATGATGTGTTTAAATTGAGTTTGTTGAGTTTTCAATGAAGGACATTTGTTTGAAAGCTTCGCCCCGCGAGGTTTGTGGGGAGATGGCCATGACTTGGTGAGTATCCTGAAGCAAATGGAGGGCAATCACTCATGGTTCCCCATTCTGGGAAGCGCCTGTTCCGAACTGCTTGTGGTAGCTGGAAGTTGAACGACCGGTGCCAAGTGCAAAACTGATGGCTGACCGGCTGACCTCCCAAACACGCCCAAAGTTGATCAACATATTGGATCAAATTTAGCCCAGCCAGGAACTCTGTGGTAAACAGCCAGCATCTACCTCCCCCACCTTTCCCCCCTTTTCTGGTTTCCTGCAGGGGGCGGTGGGGGGGTGGAAAGGTTGTTGCCAGGGCGGCCAAGCGCCATCGGTTTCTGTTTTTTTTGTTTTTTTGTTTTTTTTGTTTTCTTACTTTTTTCTTTTTCAGTTTCCAGGACTCGGAGGAGTTCACCCGCACCCGGCAGCGGTTCCGGGACAACTGGGAGAAGAGCACCGTGCAGACGCTGGTGGGTGCGCGAAGGGTGCAGAATGGCCCACAACTTTTGATTTGTTGCCGACCCCAGGTAAATATAGACCGGTTTTATTAGTGGAGGGATGCATCCCCAGCAAAAGGGAGGGCATGTTCATCCGAGAAGGGGAATGGGTATTCTTTGCATTTGCCCATGCCCTCCTATTGTTTGGAGTTGGGTAGGGTGGCACCAATTCCCACAATTTCAGCGCATCTTGGTTTAGGTATCCCCTGCCAGTCGTCAGAGGTTGCGGTTTGGGCCCATTTCACCCTGTTTTTCCGTCGATTCGGAGGGTTTCGGGATGCCCCGCCACATGGCTCAAGCGTCGAGATACCTTGCAGTGAAGGGCTCCCTCCTGCCTTTAAATCCTGCAGCACAGCGTAAGCTGCGTTCTCATCGATGGTGATGGTGCCTGAGATGGGTGTGAACCAGGTGATGTGCCCGCCTGGCCAGCAAGTCTACTTCCTTGTGCCAGCCCAGGGTTTCCCTGTCCCACATGCTGTGCCTATGGGCTATGCCATGCCTTGGGCAGCGCAGCCAAAGCTGTTGAGTTCCGCGCATCCCACCGTGCAAAGCGTGCAGGGACCCGAGGCTGCTAACACCTGCAATGTCCCCCAGCCCTCCACGGATGCCCGGCCAGGAGCAATGCCCGCCAAGCCAACGACGACGCCCAGCACGGACTCGGAGAGTGAGACATGGGAAGCAGCCATGCCTCTCACGGCCAGCGCGGCGCGGCGACAGAGGAGGAAGCGCGCTGCTGAGAGAGCCAAGGCTGCTCAAGCTGCCGAGGTCCAAGCCCAGGCCCGTGCAGTCGGCGGTGCTTTGCTGAGCATTGAGCAGCTCCGGGATGAGCTGCGAGAAGATCCTGCGGCAGTTGTCCAGCGCATGCGGGGCCGGGTGTGGGCATACTCGCGGGATGCCGCAGGCTGCCGGCTGGTGCAAGATGTGCTGGAGCTGGGGACACGTGATGCCGCCGACCTTGCCAAGGAGCTACATGGGCACGTGCTCGAAGCAGCAATGTGCCCCTACGGCAACTACGTGGTGCAAAAGGTGGTGTCGCACCTCTCAACTGCATCCAGCAGGTTTGTGGCACAAGAGCTGGTGGGAAATGCCTCTCGTGTGGCCAAGCATCGGTTTGCGTGCCGAGCCCTGTGTCGTTTGCTGGAGTTCTGTCCAGCAGACGCCACTACCTGCCTAGTTGATGAGCTGCTGCAAGACGTGTCGGGCCTTTGCAGCCACAGCTTCGCCCACCATGTAATGCAGTCCATCTTGGAGAATGGCAAGGACCAGTACAAGAAGCTAATTGCGGATGAGCTGCTGTCCGACCCCTTCCGCTACGCAACCGGCAAGAACTCTAGCTATTTGGTTGAGAAGGTCCTGTGCTATTGCCAGCCTGTTGAGCAGGACGCCTTGCTAGTCAGGCTTGGGCAGCCAGAGCAAGTGCTGGAGCTGGCAAGGACGCAGTACGGCAGCTATGTGGCCCGCGCGTTGCTGCGCGACAGCCGCGTGGACTCGCAGGAGGCCATGCGGCTGATCGCAATGCACCAGACGGAGCTTGCCACAACCAAGGGTGGCCAGTATTTCCTCGTGGATGTTGGTTTGCTGGACCCTTTGCAGGTTGAACCGAAACTGTGAGGTTGAACTTCGCCCGTTGCGGCGTGATTTTGTGATGTCCAAGTATCCCTTTGCGGTGGAGGAATTTGCCGACAACCCACAATCCAGGTGCCTGTAGCTTCGGCACTCTTGTACAGAGGGGTTGGATGACGGCAGGTATGTCACGTGCCGGCCGGCAGTACTGAGGGGGCACGTGATGTAGATTGCTTAAACAACAAGCTGGCACAGCTCTTGTACAGCCTTGGTACCGCTTGTAATCAATCGATTGTTGCAGCATGCGCTGCAAAATAATGGCAAAAGCGGATTGTGCCAGTTGCTTGCGCTCTGGTGTAAGCCTTTTGGTTACTGGTTTCCCGGTGTGAATCCATTTCTCAAGGCCCCAAGAAGTGCAGCTTTTCTTTCCAGGTCCTTTGGACAGGTGAGCCCGAAGCGCGGGAAAGAGCTTGGCACGGTGATTCCGGTCGACCTCCTCACAGACGCTTTCTTTGTGAGATGGCCTGCCCCACCCGGCAAAAAAATGTGTGGCACATGGATGGGGACACAGGGAGATGCGTTCAAGGTGGTTGGGACCACCTGAAGAATGGAAGCCCGGAGTAATAAGCCCTTGGTTGATTCGGGGGCGTCCCCCTCCAGTGGGGATTCATCACCTTCACAGGGGACCACCCCCCTATTAATAGGATGGGTATATAGGATGGGTACATTGGCATTCCCCGTTTCTCAAAGTTTTTGCGTGACCTTTCACGAGGCTCCCAAGGGTGGGACCTCACATATGGCCGGTCTTGGCAGTTCAGAACAGGTACCGCTGGCTCCTGGTTTTTTTATGACCTGGCCTTCTATGGCACGACCATCTTCACGCACTGCGCCCAAGGGCAACCGAGTGATGGTACTGTACTCGGCCGAGCTTGGCCAGCCAAGCTGGTGCCACAAATTATTTGCAATGGTCAAAACCTCCTTTTGCTTGGGGTGGCAGCAGTCCCTTAAAAGGGGATTATATGGCCATTGCAAGGATTCCCTGCCGCCATGATTGACCATGGCACATGTTTGCGGCTTTGGCTGATGGTAAGACACACAGATGCCAACTTTGTGAAGCCTCGTGGTCTGTCCGTGGGAACCACATATTTGAGAGTTGGGCTGGGTCTGCGCATGCCATCAAATTCTCCAGTGAGCCCATGCCATCAAATTTTCCGGTGCCCCAAATCGAGAGAAACTGCAGGACATGAGGCGCAGTCAGTGAGGCCCAGCATCCTGCAGAGCATGTGCCTTACGGGTGCCTCTGTGGATGGCCGCTGCCGGGCGCCCATGCACCAGTCCCTCAACCCCAGTATGGGTCCCTTGGTTCGAAACCGGACTCTTTTATTTGCAGGTTTTTCCCCCTTGGTGGGGCGACAGGTTTAAGCAGACGGACTTGAATTCTGCTATGTTGTTTCAGTTGGAGTTCGTTTCTGAGAGTCTAATCATGCCGTGACCTTCATAAAGCTTATTGATTCAGCTAGCTCTGGCTTCAAAAGGCAGCTTTGCCGCCCAGCCACAGACTTCTCCCTTTTAGCCCTAGCGCTTTTAAGGGGGTTGTGGGGCGCCTGAGGTTTACGGCGTAAGCTCAAACACAGTGCTTGACAATGAGCGATGCTGGAGTTTGCCCCCATTGCCACCAACATGACTGTGCGCATCAAATGTCAACAAAAGTGTTCGCGGTCTCAACCAGCCTTAGTCAGCCTTATTTACGCCTTTGAGGGCGTGTCGGGCAACCGGCGACTATTTGGTTTGATGCCGATTGTTTCCGCAGCACTAGCAGTTATGCGAGCTTATTTGGCCTCATTTTTGTTTTGGGGGGGATATTTTTTTTGAGGAGGGAGTGCTTGCAGCACTTGCTTGCGCAATCGCTGCCAATCGCTGGCTGATCGAGCGAGATGCCACCACCAGAGGCCCCAAGAAAGCAACACATCAGTTTGGATGTTTTGCCTTGTGCAAACACATAGGCCCTGGTTTCCAGAGCTGTGAGGCCAGCAGACCTTGCTCCAGAACTCCCTGCAGTCTGCCTTGATCACTGCCATGGGCAGGGGCGCCAAACCTGTCGCGGGGCTGCGGTGATGCCTACCCCGACACCTCCGGTCTCAAATGCTTAGGCGGCGCTTGTGACGGGCCGGCCAAGACTCCACAGTCCGGGTCAACAGACCAATGCGCAAGTTCTCAATGGGGAGAAGGGCTACGGAGCTTCTGCCGGCTTGGGGCGTTTGTTGGCTGGCGCGACCTGCAGGCAGTGTCCTCCCCCTTATGTAGGCAGCTGACATGGGTGCCCACAATCATTCCAGTCACCCAAAGCAGGGCTTTCGCCTTTTCGAAATCACAGATTTGGTCTGAGAAGGTAGTCCCACGTAGACTTGTAAATTTTGGGTCCTTTGGGCCTTATGCATGTGGGATCTCCCCTTTGTTTCACTGAGAGGTCTGCCTGGCTGCTACCTGGCCATGGTGGTCGTGGATCGGCCTGGCTCCACAGTGGTCAGCGGGAACTGTGGCCTTTGTTTGCAGCGAGGATGCGTGGCGTGACCTAGGGTTTTCAGCTGCTTCCATTTGGACAGCTTGCATGTTGTGATTCGTCAATCTCAAGAAAGGCGGGGTCTGAAATTTCCGGCGGGGGCGCTTCTCTGCATTGGGCTTGTCAGCATCTGTGAATCAACTTCCATGGGCGTTTGGCGAGGATGGGCTGTAAGCGGCTCAATGCCTATGGCTTCATAGCCCGGCAGCCCAGTGCTCTCCAAAACGGCCTGCGCTTTCAGACACTTGGCTTTTCGGGTTCCTGTTCAAAAACCGACCTTTTAACCCTTTGTTTTTCCCATGGGTCCAATTTTAGTAGTGATCACAATGGTCCCAACAGGTTCACCTTTTGAGAAGGCGGGTTCTCTCCTCGCCTTGCCCGTCCCAAGGCTCTGAGCGTCTCCTTCGGAGCTATGGCAGCGTGTTGGACCGGCTCGCCCGCGGCCCCGGTGACTTCGCTGCCTTTGCGGCGCCCCTGGGCCCCCAGTTTCTTGAAGAGTCACAGGTTTTGAGCTCCAGGGCCTGGCAACATGCCACAATGTCAGGCCTTCAAACACAACACGGACTTCAACCAAAAGCCGCAAGCAAACAACCAGCTGACCCTTTGGCTGTGCTGGTCTTGCGCTTGAGCCGCGGGGCTCGTTTGCGTTTTTCGCCGTTGCGCGGGGCCACATGGGGAGCTATTGGCCGGGGGCAACGCTTCCGCGCTGTCCGCAAGAGATGTGTTGCGGGGAGGCTTCGGGGGCAGGTATCCTGGGCTTTTTCGGCCTTAACTCAAGTTCTTTGGCAAGTCCACGGGAAGTCGAAAAGTTGGGAGTGCTCGGGTTTCGTGAGTTTGACTCTTCCTCTCGGGCTGGACGGCGTGCCAGAGAGAAGCCAGCCGCATTTAGGATGGAGTGCCTCTTAGCATGGCAAACCGCGCATGAGGTCACAGCTGCAATTCGCCGCAGCCCTAGTTTTTTTTGACATGACGAGGTCGGGACTTTGCAAATGGCAGCCTGAAACAAGTTGGGTTGGTCGCGACTCTTCCCTAAAACCAGCCGGGGGAAGTCATAGTTGGGCTGTTAGTTCTTCCTGCTTCTCCCTCCATCACAGATGTTAGCCAGCTGCATTAGCCATTCACGTTCGCCGCTTGGGCACCTGATGAGAGGGCAGAAGGCAGAGCGGCAGGCAGAGCGCGGGAGAGAAAGCGAGAGAGAGAGAGAGCTGCGAATGGATTTGGGCCGGTTGAACTTGAAGGGGGGTGGTTTGGCAATGTTGGCATGCCATGAGAAGTGGACGCATCCTGGCGTGGCTTGGAGTGTTCACAGTTGGACCCCCCGAGCAAAGCATCTGACCGAGCCCCCGCTTCTCCGCTCGCTTGAGGCGCTGTTTTGCGTCCTCACCATGCTCCTGAACTGGGGCCCGAACCTAGGCACGTACGCCGGGGCACCTAGGGAGATGTTGGACCAAAAAGTCCGCCAGCTCTTGGTTGTGGAACTCTGAAGGCTCCTATTGGAAGCATCTCGGGTGGGAATCGATTTCCTCCTCCCTGCCAGTGGTGGCACGGTGAGTATTCAAAGGCTGGCAGGCCAAACGCGACCAACCCTCAAAGAAGCATCGAATTACGCAAAGCCAGCCACAAATTCTTAGCAGCACCACACAATGCAGATGCCTTTGCAGAATCAGCCGTAGATTCTGGGATATCCCCAGTTCTGCGATGTTATGCGTTGGTGTGAGGATTGCCCTTTGCCAATACTCTGCGCTAGCGGTGGCCCGTACTTGTTTATGCTGTGATTCTCGTTAAGTCTCTGGCCCCTCAGCCAAAAAGAGTTAGTTCAGATCTTTCCAGCGGGCAAGGGGGAAGAACAAGACGACCCGAATCCCAAGATGGCTTGAGCCCGGGGGCCGCTGTCCCAAGCGGCGCCAAACTTCACGCGGAGGTTCTGCCCGCGATTTGCTTCCCCCCCGCGATCCGCAGCACCTGCCGGCGCTCAAGTTGGGCATGCGGACGGCCACATGTTACCATAGGTGTCCTTGGTTGTTTTGCTAGAAAAATAGATGGCGATTCGTGGTTTACCTGCAAACAAATTCTACCAGGGAAACCCATCTATTTCCCCGAGAAGGACACCTATGCATGTTACTGCTTTGCGTCGGGACGACGCTGTTGTGCGAGGATGTGAGGATCCCTGTAAAAGTAGGGTCGGAGGGTTAGGAGAGGTGATGAGATGATTGTTTGCTGTACTGGATGCGCCATAGGGCGTGTTGAGTGCTGTGGTGTTTACCGGATTGCTTGGCTGCGACAGTGTCAAGTGTTCTTGAACCCTACTCAGTCAATTTGTGCCCCCTGCATGCGGGCCCAAAAAAAAGAGGAGAACACTAAGAAAGAAAAGCTCAAGGAAGCTTCTGATTAAACCGGGCCCGTGGGGTTCCCAATATTTTCCATTCAGTCGTTTGAAATGGGGCCTCACTTTGCCAGGCGCAAAAAAACACATGTGCAACTTGCGACTGACAGTGCAGTTGAACTGTGCTTGCGCACATAAAATCAAGTTTTTGTGGGCGTGCGCCAAACAAGTTTGCTGGACAAGGGGGTTTTATGTCTGAGCAGTTGGAGCGGATTCTGTTTGATCCTGCCTGGTCATTGCAGAACTCTTCTGCCCAAAGCCGACCTTTGGATCTTTTGGGTTTGTTTGCTTGGTCCATTTTTAGTCATGGCCCCAAAGGGCGATCACCTTTGATGTCTAGGTCCTTTGGGCAACCGAGAGAAGCAGGTTGACCTTGGTGCATGTCGTGCGAAGCCGCGTTCGGCTGCGGATTTTTGGGTGAGGCCATGGCTTGTCCAGCACTGGCGGGAAGGTGGGTGCTGTGGCAGGGCACCTGGAGAAGGGGGCCGCCAAGAGGCCATGGGAAACGGATAGCTTGGTTTGAATGGTGCTCTGGATGTCCCGATTGCAAGCCAAGAAGTAGCAGCTAGCAGTTTTCTGGTCACCAATCTAGAGTATTTATCTGTAAGCTGTGGTTGGTCTACTCGCGGGTTGTCCAGAGTAGCCGGGGTGTGACCCGTCGGTGCCTTGCTTCGCTCGGCCGTCGCCAAGGTCGGGACCCTCCTCTTCGGGCCAATCAGTCACGGTCGGGTCGGTAGATGCGGCTGGCTTTGACGGGGTTGAGCAGCCGACATGATATCGACGCCCGACCAAGCAGATACAACAAATAATGACGTTTCAACCGCCCATATTGCAAAGCAGTTTGGCCAAAGGCCGGATCAACGCGCAAAAACTACGGATAGTGTCCTGCCATATTTCAAGTTGCAGCAGAAGGATCTACCACGTTGGGGCGACGAAAGGTGCTTGCCCCCATGAGGATATTGCGCGAAGTCAGATGTTGTAGCTGAACGATCATCGATTCAACTGTCACGGCTCGACGTTTGTGAGCCCCACGCAGGTCAATCATCGCACATGATTTTAGGTGATGTGGCTTGGCTTTGGTGGTCCGGCAGCGAAATTCCCTGGAAGCCTTTGAGCATTTCCCCCCCTGGCCCGACACATTTGGGTATGTGTTGATACTCCGCCCCCTTGTCGGTTCATGTTTGAAACTGACATAAGGCCAAACCATGCGTGATGGTCTGCTCGTTCTCAGACCATTTGTGCCATAACTCCATCCAAGCGCATTGGAACTCGCCAAGGCTTCGGAGTGCAAGGTGTGCTTTGGATCCAGTGCGCCCGAGATCTCAGCCGGCAGTCAGCCTTCGGCTTGGAGGTTTGTGTGTGATGTGCGCCTGGGTTGCTTTGTGCTTTTGGGGGTTCGGGCCTTGTGGCCTTTTTGTTGGGTTCCTTGGCAAGCAGTGCTTAACGCCACCGCCCGAAAGTGGGAGGTCTGGCCAGAGCTATTCACGGCATGTTTTTTTTGCAGCCGAAGATATCAGCGATCCACATTCTGAGGTGGGCCTTCTTGCGTTATCCATTTGCATTTTTGGGTGAAACTCCTTTCTGGATTCCGTTTGGTCCTTTCCAGTGTGGTTTTTGGCACTTGCCAAAGCATGCTGTCAAGACTTACTGCACTTCAGATTGTGCATGGTCGTCCCCGAGGTGGTGTGCCTCGTGGGTGCAGTCGTGGTCGGGGCCCTTGCTCGGGCAGTTGGCAACGCTTGCAGGGCAGACGTGCGCCCAAGCTCAGGTCTGCCGTGCAGGATGTCACATTTCAATCCCATAGCATCCTGCAGCTTATTCTTCATTGCAAAGGGAGAGTTGGATGGCTGAAGACTCGTTGGTTGGCCGGCTGGTTGCCACAATCAGGGTCATCATTCTCGTGGTGAACAGCGCATGGCGAATGAGTTGCCGTCATTCCTGTTCGAGAGTTTGAACCATCTCTTGATGGAAGGGGTCAAGCAACTTTTGCTGCCGCTTCTTTTGCGCGCCGCCAGCATGTTCCCGCCAAGTCCTGGCAATTCCTCAAGCATGACTGGGAGTACGAGAGCGAGATTGGCGTGCGTCCTGCGCCCGGTGTGGGATTTGTGAGGCCATCTTTCTGGGAAGGTCAGGGAGGATCCATGGGTCTCAAGGTCTCAAGGTGCCCACGTAGCAACCACGGCTGTTGTCTGAGGCCAGAGCCTTCGCAGGCCGTCCGGCTTGGAAGTTGCCACCCGCCAGCAATTAAGGGCAAGGTCCGGCGGAAACATTTTCCGGGCGGGTCGCCGTCCCAGCTAATATGGAGCCAGGGCCGAATTTAACCAGTGCGGGAGACGGCGGGAACTGTTTCCAGCCGGTTCTTGCTGGCGGTTTTATTGCTCGTTCCTGGCTGGTTGTCAATTCAACTTGTCAATGCTTTACTGAATGCACATCTGTCGGACCCCATGCGTCTCCAACGGCACGCCTCTGCGTGCTTGTGGTTGAGCGATGTTGAGCGAATCAGCGAATTCGAACGAACAGTCCGCCGTAAAAGTGAGAGCCTTCCCAGTTGAATCACAGAATCAAGCAGCCCCGAACCACGCGCTGAGCCGCGTAATCATCGCTCGGCTCCGTGCGCCAGGCTCCGACCTGCCACTGAGGCGAGACGAAGGGGCGGGTTTCACCAGCCACAATCTCTCTGTCAAGATGTTGCTTGGCATCTGCAAGTGGACTGTGGCTTCTTCAGGAGCTCTTTCCTGCCTGCGCCTGCCCCTAGCTCTAGCCACGGACTCGTTGAATCGTCGTTTGAAACCCCAGCGGAGGAATCCCCACACTGCACGGAGAAAAAAACGCGTTCTGATCATCTTGCGAGGGGTTCTTGCAGAACTTCTTGAAGAGGGCTCCTCAAAAGATACATTTGCCCATTTGAAACAACATGGCTTCTTCCACCAAAATAAGGGGAAACCACCATTGACAAGGCAATGTTCAGGTGTAGAATGTAAGGATCCCTGTTGAAGGGTATGCTGATTTGCACTGCAAAGGCTCGGGCCTTTCACTCGGTTGCTGCCGCTCTGCCGGCCGCGGGTTGGGGCGGCCATGGTGTCTTCGCAGCCGGTGCTTGATGTACACCATGTGCGGCCCCCACCCAGGCACATGCGCATACGCACATGCATTAAATATGAATGTCATGGGAAGGCATCCTTGCAAATCTCAGGTCGGTCAGCCAATTTTTGTTGAAGGCTTGGGGGAACACATGTTGAATTGCATAACGCCACAGAACAGATGACAACAAGCCTCGTTCCACGTGTCATATGCACCACGCTGCAAAACCACACTGAGGGACTGGATTGAGCCATGTTTGGCCTTCGCCAGTCCTTGGCACGAGCCCAAGATGGACGCGGGCCTTGCCAGACCTCAAATTTCAAAGGCATTTTGTCAACACTCCCCTGTCCAGATTCCAGACACCCCCTCAGCCACAAGCAGGTTTGGCTCATTGTGAGACAGGGCGGCACATCCCCGCTTGAAGGAAATCATTGGAAGGCCAAGCAAGAGCTGTACCGGCTTCAAATGGGAGGTGCAAGGCCATTGGCCGAGGCACGCTTTTACAGATTTACTTGAAGCAGGAGGTACACCGGCAAGATTCAACCAACAAGAGTGCATCAAAGCAGTTTTGCGGAGAATCTTAGAAAGCTGGAGAGCCAGCTGCTTGAAAGTGCTTGTGCTGCAGGACTTGTTGAGGGTCTGAATTCCCCTTGGCGTGATGGTCGATCATTTCTTATGCAACACGGGAAGGTTCGAGAAGTCCGAGCCATTTCGAGGCACCCCCTAGCTCGTCTCACAGAAAGGCACGGTGCTGTGAGCGCCCTTCTCCTTAGATGATAAGTGGGTGCCAGCTGGGCAATTTTGACATTTGACTATCACCTCAGGGGGTGGAGGGGCCGAGGCGGGACACGTGCACTTGCAACTCACTTTGCAATTTCTGCTCTTGGGAGCCGTGTGGCTCGCAGCCAAACCTGGGGCTACCGGGCTACCAACGAAGCCGCGCCGGCCGCTCCGCGCGTCGCCCGCGGAGCTCCTGCCGGAGCGGAGAGATGAGCGCCCCAAGCGCCCCAAGGGCGAAGGACGCCGGCGGCTTTTCGGATTTGGAAAGCAAAGGAAACCCGGCGTGCAGAAAGGTCCCTAGATGGTTTTGAGGACTGAAATGCGGGCCCCCCGTTAAAAGTTTCGCGCAGCGGCTTGCCATTTGGAAGGTTTGTGCCAGTGGGATGCCCGTCTAGCTTGTGCAGATGAATTCCTATAGGAGGTGCGGCTCATCATGGAGACAGTTGTCATCGGTGGCAGCTACATCCTCATCAGCGCCAGCTTGATCGCCTTCAACAAGCATCTTATGTAGCTTGCCTGTAGGATTGGAATTGAAGAGATTCAAGAAGCAAGGACGGCCTGCAGGCAATGAATTAAGCTCTTGGCGTTGGCGGGTGTGGAGCCATTGTCATTTTCTTGCATGCTTTCCAGTGCATCTCTTCATTGGATGAGTCACTGGGTCTTGGGAAAAGGTGGCATGGAAAGCTGAAGGGAATAGAATGCAAATATGGTTGCACGTCTTGGGCACTGTGGGGAGTAAGTGGGTAGAACATCTTCAAGCGCAGCAATCGCACGCTGCTGTTGTGCCTATATGAAGACTTTGCAGGTGAGGCAACAGAAGCTTCGCCTTGAACACGGGGAGCCCATTGCAAGAGCCAGTTGCAATCAAATAATGCTCTGACTGAGCCGCTACCAAGCACTTTTGCTCGCACTTCCTTGATGTCGCCTGCACTGAGGAGCCCCTCGCGGTTCCCCTATGCCAAAGCCATGACGGCCATGCACATGCTGGTGACGAGCCTCATGTCCTTGCTGCTCTACACCCTGGCCCCATCGCTGTATCCTTCTATGGGAAAGGCCCGGGAGAACTGGAGGACCGTGTCGGGGGTCCCAGGAGAATGCAAGCAAGCAAGCCCTGGTTCGAAACGTTGATGTCACGGGCACGGCAAGTGCTGCTTTAGACATGTCTCTCCATCATTGTGGCGTGGTTTGCTTCTTGGTTTGCCCCTTCGTTTTGCTTTTTTCCTTGTATTAACTTGTCTTGTTTTGTTTTTGTTGCTGCGTTGCTGTGTGTTTGTTGGTTGGTGGCTTGGTGGCTTGCTTGCTTGCTTGCTTGCTTGCTTGCTTGCTTGCTTGCTTGCTTGCTTGCTTGCTTGCTTGCTTGCTTGCTTGCTTGCTTGCTTGCTTGCTTTTTTAATGTTTCTTTTTCTCACTGTTTCTTTGTCTTTGTTTTGCCAGTGGAGTGTCTGTAGCATCAGCACAAAGGCCATTGTGCAAGCCGCTAAGGTTGCAGTACATCCTGCCTTTGGGTAGCCTCTTCGCCGTTGCCCTCTACTGCTCCAACAGGGCCTACTACTACTCAACTGTGGCTTTCTCCAATTGGGGCTAGCTCAGGCTTTCGCATGTTTGATCGCTGCACGAGGTTTCCGATTGGCCGCGAGGGAATGCGAGCTGGGTTGCGTCTGTCTGGCTGCTAAAAGCTATCTCAAGTTGCAGTTGGGCTGCAGACAGTGGTGTTGGAACGGGGAAGGGAGGGGGCGGCAAGATGCGGCAAGATTGTGGGCACAAAAAGGGCATCAGCAAACACGGGTACGCTCGTGGGGTTGATTCCCTCATTCCGGGCTGGACCAGTTTTTCACATGCACGGCATATTGACGAGCTGGAGGAAATGTTTTGGTGCCTGTTGAAGGTTTCCATGTTGACATTCTTGGTTCGCAAGCTTCGGTTTCGTCATGAAGTGGCTGGCTGGCTGGCTTCGGGAGGCTGGAGGATGGCCCCCAGCCCCAGCCGGCAGAATGCTGCTCCCGTGCTCAGGTGGCATTTTTGCAGTTCTGCCGCCTGGCAGCATTTGCCCTTTCGTTGCGCATTGGGCTCAGGGAAGGTAGACGCGACTAATTGCCCATCCTGTGCCATCATGATGACTTGGTCGTTCGCCATGCGTTGCAGGCCCCGCTGAGCATGAGCCCATGGAAGACCGGACTTGCAGCAACCAAGTTGCTGCAGCCCCGAAGCCATTCTTCCATATTCAATGCGCACAGTCTTTGCGTGGCATTGTGTGTGTGTGTGCCACCCTGGAGTGTGCAGGCTGCCTGCCTTTGTTCAGGCAAGGTTTGATCCATTTTTGGTGGCTGAATCCCAGGCAGTTTAAGTGCTGAAAGCACTTGAGATTCTTCCTTTGCTCCGTGTCTGCCATCATCGTTTTGTTTTCTTGCTGAAGCTCCGGCACTGGCCCCATGCCAGGTATCGGCCCTGAAAGCTAGCGGTTCTGTGGTTTGGTGCGCGATTGAGGCAAAGAGGGCAGCGTGGCCATCATCTTCACTATGTCCTGCTTGCTGGGCTTGCAGGCGGGTGTCGCGAATCAAGGGTTTGTTGAAAGTCTGTGTGCGCTTGGGCCTCTGCACGCGTACGCACACATATAGAAACATTATATAACATATACATATACATATTTAGGTATGTGTGTGTGTGTGTGTCATTCGGTCTTGATATTAATTCTTGTGGCCACGCGAACAGCGAATTGGCCCCCCATTGCTCACCACTTTTTGCTCGCCAAAGAAGAGATCCCAACTACATTTTGACGGTTTACCTCGGGAAGCTTTCCCATCCTTATTCACACTTGCCTTTAGACAAAGGATGTTTTAACCACTTGCTGGTTTGCTGCGTTTCTGTTATTCTTTCTTCATATTTCCATTTGTTCTGTTTTTCCCACACACATTCCACAAAGCAGACGGTGTATGCTTGGCCTGTGCATCGCTCCCTGAGGCTTTCAGCTGGAACAAGGTGGGCATCTTGAGCATCGTTGTGGCCGGCTGCTGTTTGTGCGCTCATGGCCCCTTGGATCTTTCAGTGACATCCGCGGCTGCATCAGCGCGTGTTGCGAGACCCAAAGCCCCCCAAAAAACAAAATAGACGGCGTGAATCAAGCTGCCCGAGAGCGATGCTGTTGAAGCAAAGCACGTGCGAAGTAGTGGCAACCAACACCTTTGCTGGCTACTCTTTGGAGTTTGGCAACGGTTCTTGCAGGCATCGACTTGCACGCGGAAATCACTCAAATTCCAACCGCCCACGCGTGGATTCGTTACTACCTGGTTGAACAACTTGCAGGGATAGAAGCTTGAAGCATTCCTTTGCAAACTGTTTGAGCCGTTACGCTTGCCAGGGAGAAAATATCATCGATCAATACATATAATTATATATATATATATATATATCTGTATAATCCTGTCCGAAATGGCCACATGCCACTTTGACCTTTTGTGGCATGCGCCATCGGCCGGCTGACGACTTGCGAGCTGAGGTGAGATCAACTTTGTGTGGACAGGCACCTTCGCCCGCAGTGTCTGATCTCGCCGTAGGGGCTTTTCCTCCCCTCCCAAGGGACTCCCAGTGCATTGCCTGATTTTTTTTTTTTGCAGCAGACCAGCAAGAGTCAGTGCGTCAGCGGCATGATGCGTTTGTTGTATTTTAGTTGCGCCGATGGCCAAGTCACAGCGTTGCTTCTTGGCTACGACGTGTAAGGATGTTGGTCAACAATGCTCAGATAGTCAGCTTATGTCAGCTTCTTTGCCTCCTTTAGGTTTTAGCGTTTTCCCAATGAAGGCAAGATGACCAGGGGTTGGAGACAAACTGGCCACAGGGTTGCTCTCCCAGGAGAAAGAGAGGGAGCATATGAGACGAATCAGGGATCAAGAACTTGTGCTTGTTTGCAAAGGCTTTGCCCTGCAGATCACGTCTCAGCTGGCGGAGTGTTCCAAGAACATCATAGGGGAGGTGGTCATGTCTGGCGCCGGCATGAAGTCGCCTGGCGCCACGAATTTGCTTTTGGCAGGGCGTGACTGACCTGGTGGTTCCTGCAAGGCCATCCTCTGAAATGGGCCCTTGGGTGGGAGGGTTCCATGTTGGTCGATGGGAGGTCATGTGCGTATCTACACTCACTTCCTGAGTTCCTGACACTTTAGCACTTTTTGGGAAGACCATTTTGGTGACAGATAAACAGTTTGGACTCTTTTGGGCCATCCACTCGGGAAGTGAGTACATGTCTTCTTCAGCAGGGCGTCAAACCAAATGCGGGCTCCAATTCGCACCAGCAAGTAAGCCAGCCGTGAATTTATGAGCTTGCCGTGGAGAGTCGGGAGCCCGCTTGTTTCAAGCAGCGGTACGCATAGCTCGCTTGATTCTTATTCCTCAGCGGCACATGCTCTTTGTCGCTTGCTGCTTGTTCCTCCCTCGCGCCCCCTTGGAGTACATCAGCCTCTCTGCATGGCTGGGCCCAGCACTGTTGCCCTCTGGCAGCCCAAATCCTAGGAGTTTGAGTATGCCACGGCCAACACCTGCAGCAATTAAAACCATACACCAGTGGACAAGCTTCACCTTTGGCTGGGCTGGGGTGCTGGAAACCAAGCGCTCTTGTTGAGCGTGGAAAAGCAAGGCACTCGTCATTCACTGGCAGCCTTCCCTCCTCAGGGAGAGGGTGCGGGATTGACACCGAACTAAGGCCAAGCAAAGAAACTGCACCAGCCGTTAAGCTAGCTCGCGCCCCCATAGTCGAACACCAGAGAGCATGCAGACCGGATGTCATGTACCTCCTTCTTGGTGCGCGGGTAGGTCAACTCACTCAGTCCCTTGGATGCTTCGTTTCGGAAGGCTGGACGTGCTGACCTTCGTGCTGTTCCAGGCGCCTTGCTCCCTGGCGCCCTTGGCGCTCAGCGTGGCGCTCTCCTGGGAGCAGGGCATTTGGGAGGCTGGGGGTTGGGTTGGCCGGGGATTCTTCTGTGGCACCGAATGCCAGCCATGTTAGGCCAGTGTTTTTGGTCCTGAAATTGATCCCCAGCCATCCAACAGGAGAGTGAGCCACTCTTGTTGGAACAAGCTGACACATGTGAAAGTGTCCTACCCGCAGCGATGGCAGGTGTTCCACAGTGCCCCGAACGCAGAAGCAAACAGGGAGATGCCACCAGGTTGCCTATGTGTGTTGAATGCCATGCTCATCAAGGAGCCTAGGCAAGCACGTCAGATCATCCATGGCTGCATTGAAGGGAGGGTCACTGCCCAGTTGTTCGGAGGCCTTCCTGGCTCACTGGCCAATGTGCCTTGGCAATGCCAGACAGGAGCTTTTTATGTGGGGGAGCGCTTGGAACTTTGAAAGGTGTGTTGCGATCTTGATCAGGTTGGCGTGCGGTGAGTGCCACTTCCTAATTGCCGCCATTTGCCGACCTGATAATTCTCAGAAGCCCTACATCACGGGTAGCGACTGAGAGAGGAGTGGGTGACAGGGCTTTCAGTCTCAGAGCTTCAGCAGGGAGGGCTCGCAAGCCAAGGATCTTGCTCAATGCCTTGAACGCCTTTGCTGGGGTCCCAGCAAAGGGGTCGACGCGGCGAAAGTTGCCCGCGGGTCGCGCTCGTGGATCCTGTTTCTCAGTCCCCGCTTTTACGGGGATTCGGCTGTTTGGGATCCTGATTCGGCTGAAGCAAGGCTCGACAAGTGGGCTGCCTTTGTGTTGAAATGCAGCCCTCACGACTTCTTGGGTGCTTCAGGCACTGAACCTTCTGATTGCCACAGCGCTGAAGCGACTGTCAGCCGTGGCCTTTGTCATCATTGGCATTGTCAAGGAGCTGTGCTTTCACCTGGTTCTGGGGCTAGGGTCGGTCGGAGTTCGGGTGGGGAAACTGAACCTTGGATGTGGGTGGCTGCGGGTTGTTGGGTTGGCAAAGCGCCTCGCTTACCTTTGCGGTTGGCTGGCCTGCGTTTCGTGGCCAGTGATTGCCCCCGGTTTCTTGGGAGAATTTGGCGCCCTCGTCAAGCTGCCCTCAAGCAGGGAGCGCCCCTGTCGTTTGACAAATCGGATCCTAGCTCGCCGCGAAGAGGTCAGTGTTCGAACTTCGTGGGGCTCAGTCGCAGATGTGGCCAGGACAGTGTGATTGTGGCTGCTTCATCCATGATCTTCGGGGACCACATCCCTGGCCAGCAGCAGATTGGCTTCGTCATCATCATGAATCTTGGACACACGGACTCTTCTTGTTGGGCATGGCCCCAGATGAATGCCAGGAGGGGCGTGGGCCAAGCCAGAACAAGTTTGGACATGACATGTCATCAGGTTGCTACTTCCGACTTCCGTAAAAGGAGCTCCTGCATAGATGGCCCACTGGCCAATGGCAACAGCAGGTCTGGGCTCCGCGAGCTCGGAAAGCATGGGAGGGCTTTGCGCAGAGTCATGTCCCGTTCACTTCCCCTTCACTTCCCCTTCATTTCCCATTCACTCACGCCAAGAAACTCCTCTGGAGCGCTGTGATGGTCATACCCATGTGCACTCACCAAAGAGCCGGCTGCGTGCGCGCCGAGGACTGGCATAGCGGGGGGCCCAAGTGGCCCAACTGGCACCAGGCAACAGCTTCTTGGGGCCACGCTAGCCCAATCCCAGGCGAATGTCACTCATGCAGTTCAATTCTTTGAGCGCGGCATGTTTCGCTGGGAAATGTCCCGAGGCCTTTTGGAGCCACCTGAAGCTCAGGGAGCAAGCGGAGAGCGAGAAGCTGAAGGAGACGGAGCCCTTGACCAAGTGGCCGAGCCCTGCGCGGGTCTGAGCGGCCCTGGAGGCTCCGAGCGGTCACGCGAAGAGCTGGGACAAAAGGCGAGCGCAGGGAGGGGGGCTTCAGATGTGGCGGCGTATCTCTTGGCTGGGGCTTGTTCTGAAAGAATACAGTGAAAGACCTCTCAGGAAAGCTTCCGGGCCTCGTTTTGTGTCAACCTTTGATTGGGCTGACAGTGGGGGGATTCGTAGGCCGTTCTGGTGATCGAGCAGACATCTTGGCTGTTCAAGCTGCAAACCAAGGCTGCCATGCCCAACGCGAGGAGGAGGGGTCAGTTTCAGAGGGCAATGCCCCAGTGGATGCCAATCTGGAATTACCCGCGCCGAGAAAAGCATCGGCGGCCTGCATTTGCTGCTTGCCAGCTTAGCCAACCAGAACAGCCGCGTTGTTGTTTTGTTTGTTTAGTGTTCGTGTGATTTAGAGGGTATCCTTGTTTTTTTTTTTTTTTTTCCGAAGGGGGACCATGCGGACAAACGCCACAGCCAATTGAAAATCAGGCTTTGCACCTTTGGCCCGTCCTTTTCTTGAGGGCTTCCTCCTTTCAGAGGGCCAGAGTGGTCCCCGGGCTTGGCCTCAGGCATGGATCCTGTACCTGTGTTGGCTCCACCGGTCTGCAGCTTTGACTCAGAGGTCCCCGGGATGCTTGCTTGGGCAGCATGTCGTGCGGTGCTATCATCCGCTTTGGCCTTGCAAACAGACGTGAACGAAAGAAAAGCAGTGAAGTCTGTCACCGGCTTCCTCTCGCAGTAGGGGCTTCAAAGTGCAGACGCCCTTCACTTTTCGCCATTTTGTTTGAATGGATCCGGGCCGAAGCTGAACAGGAGTTTGGGGGTGCCACCGGCACATGGAGGGGGAAACAAGGGGCCATGGCATGGCTGGGGCGCGCCTTGCTGTGCTGCCTGCTCGGTGCCCAAGGAGGGCCTTTGGGAAGCGGCCATGTTGCCTGAACTCGCTTGGGTGACGTGCGCCTCGCACACACATGGCATGAAATTGTATCAACTTGTCACTGGTGCACCTCTACTTCAGCAGGTGCAATGTTTGCAGATCAACAGGTGACACCATCTGCTGCAAGGTGATGGAGGGCCCTGGTTCTTGCAACCCCTACGGGAAGCTGTGCTGACTTTGGCCCCTTCCCTGATTTTGAGGGCTCCCCGGCTTCCTACCTACTGCCACTTCAGCTGGAAAGTGAGTCGCGATCCACCAGCACGATCCAGGGTGTAGTCCAAACCATGCTCTCTACTCGTTGGCAGAATGTGGCAACTGGGCTGACAGCGAAGTGAGGCCGTCAGATTCTCGAGCCGCGTCGCAGCCTTTGGGCTCCCAGTTTTCAACGAAGCCTTGGCCCCGGCGTCGCTCTGCCGGCTGGCGCTTCTCAGGAAGATGAGTGGCATGAAGGACCACGACGCAAGACTGAGCATGGAGCTGTTGTTCAGTGGCACCCATTTTTACCCCTTTTTTTTTGGAGGGGTGGCTGCCCCACTAAAAATGGTCTTCCCCAAAAAGGGTTCCCTTTTTTCTCCAGGGTCACTGAACAACTGAGACACATTTTTTTTTGGTTAGCATCGCTGGAGTGTTGTGCGGAGACTCGACTTGAAATGCATGTTAACTAAGACGCGCTCCAGTGTTGTAGTAAGATTATTTGTATTTTGCCCACTGGATGCAGAAGGGGCGATGGTGTGCCCTCAACTTCCGAGTGAGCCAGAGCTGGCTGATCCAGGTGTTCCTTTTCCAGTCGATTGAAGAGTAATCTTTTGGGACACTTCGAATTGAAACTCCTTTGGGCTGATGCTCACAACCGAAAGCTTTCTAAGAGGTTCGGCTTGTCGCGAACGAGTTCGCGGCTTGACTGCAGGAGTTGAAGCTGGTAGTGGAGACAGTGGCCATTGGTGGATGCTACATCCTCATCAGCGCCAGCCTGATCGCCTTCAACAAGTACCTTATGCAGCTTGGCCGGGGAAGGGCCTTTCGCGCAGTGCACGTAGCTCCGTGTAACGCACGGAGCGTTCCTTGTTGCTGTGGTTTTCCGAGGGCCTGAAGTTCTCAAGACTTTGATTTCTTGTAAGGTGCTGAGGGCGTCGTGCAACTAACGACCTCCAATCTCCATCTATATGATTAAGAAGATCCCTGTTTCGCTCTTGGTCAATGAGAACATCCTTGCCAACTGCTTTCACAGTTGTCTGTCTTTAAGAAGTTCAATTGAATTCGAATACCCTCAACTATCCCTATCAGTCATGATCTCAGCTCCTAGAACCCAACGTTATTGTCAAAGCTGCGTGCACGATTGTGAGTCGCTTTTCGGGTGCCTTTCTTGGGCACCGCGTGACATTCAATCCGGATGCCGAGGAACCCCGCACGCTTCCCCTACGCCAAAGCCATGACGGCCATGCACATGCTGATGACCACTCTCATGTCCCTGCTGCTCTACACCGTGGCCCCCTCCCTTTATCCCTCCATGGGCAAAGCCCGGGAGAACTGGAGGACGCTGTCGGGGTCTTAGCGTGACTTGCTGCAGGCGGGTGGTAGTTAGCGGCTGCAATGGCCATCGCCTCGAACATGTCAAAAGGTTCTGTTCCCCATTGTCCACAACAGGTTTGGAGTCGGCCAAGGCTGAGCCAAACGCTGGGTTCATGTCTCACACTTAGGATCCTGCTCAAATGATTCTTTCTCGTTAGGTTCAATTGCCTTCGTTTCATCGGAAACACGGGTGTGGTACCTATGAGGCCCTTTGAGGGGGGAGACGCTGAGGTTGAAATACATCCTGCCCCTGGGCATGCTGTTTGCCGTCGCCCTATACTGCTCCAACAGGGCCTACCTCTTCTCCACCGCCGCTAGCTTCAGGAAGCTGCCATTCAAAGGCCAAGGTTCAGCTCAGTTGCTCAAGGGAACCAACCCACTGTGGACCTGACGGAGGATTTGCATATTTGTGGGGGACATAGCTCTGAGAAGCAACCTTGCCCAGCATTTGCTGCCCAGGTGGCCTTCCTGCAGTTTTGCCGCCTGGCAGACATGTGGGCCGAAGGGGGGGGGGAAGACTCCAAGGCCAGGGTCCAGCGATGTGTGCTGAGCTGAACCATTTTGACGGACGTGTTTTGAATGATGGGCTCTTTTGGACGGAGTGGCGCGACCGAAAGGGGCAGTGATTGTGTACCCAAGGTGGAGGAGTCATGAACCAATGGCAATGACAAGGCCTAGCCCCGTTTGCAAAGTAAGCGTAGGTTTTGACTTCACTTGCCACCGAGCACGGAGATCAGCAAGAAAAAGGCTCAGTTGGAATAGTCACCTTGACACATCGGGCATGGAGATTATACGGCAACATTGCCAACGATACGCATGTTGCAATGCATTCTGGTTCAACGTGTGTGTTTGCCAGTCGTACGTTCACGTGGCCCATTGTTGGCTTCGCACCGAGGCAAGGAGGGCAACGTGGCGCTGATTTTCGCCATGTCCTGTGTGCTGGGCTTGCAGGCGCGGCGGCCATGCCCGTTCTTCGGGCAATGGCCGTGCTGGTGTGTTTTTCTTCCCTCGAGAAAAAGGGCGACCCTTCTTTGAGTCATGGTCGTGGCCGTAGGGAGCCTTCGCCCCGGCTTGTGAGTGAAGGCGTTGCAAGCTTGTCAACCCTCAAGCTGTACTACCAAGGTGTTTACCTGGAACAAGGTGGGGATCTTGAGCATCGTCGTGGCCGGCTGCTCTCTGTGTGCCCATGGCCACTTGGACCTGTTGAGGGGTTGCATGCCCAAGGGAAATGCAGTGCCCTGCAGCTCAAATTCCCGTAAAGAAACTTCTTATGGGAACTTCTTGTATGAACCTGCTGAACTCCATGCTGAAACTTGACTGCCCCCGACAAAAGCAGTCCTTCCCATTTGTCCATTTACCTTCTGGCAGACCACCTTGGCGCAGCGGTCGCACCGCCCGGCCTGGCGCCTGAGGCGAGATCAACTTTGTTTGGATGGGCGCCTCGGCCTGGGAGAGTCGCAGGTTTTCTCTCGTCGAAGGCGATTCTTGGCGCCTGGTTGCCGGATGTTGCCTGATGCCCGGAACTTTGCTGGGGCTCTCCCTAGCGTTGTGGGACCGTGTGTTGAGACCAAGAGGGCCAGAGATGTTGCGTGATTCGAATTCTCCCTCCTTTCGTGGTTACCTCTGCTGGGGAAGGCCAGCAACAGGGCTGGCTAGAGCGCCGAGGATTCAAAATTCACAATCAAAAGGCCGCCCAAAAGAAAGCAAGCGCAGCAAAAAGCAAGGAGGGCCTTCCTGCGCTTCCCCCGGATATCTCACCAGCCAAGTCGTTGCGACGCGAGGCTTTGCCTTGCAGATCACTTCTCAGCTGGCGGAGTGCTCCAAGAACCTCATCGGGGAGGTGGTCATGTCCGGCGCCGGCTTGAAGCCGCCTGCTTGAGCAGAGTGGCTGGCTAATTTGCGTTTTTTTTTTTATTTTTATTTTTTTTTTATTAAATGCTTGATTTGGGGGACATGGGCAGGGCAGCTTCCCATATGTTACATACATGCCCGGTTAAGGCGACAAGTGAGGCTTGATTTCGTATGAGTCTTTTGTTTGTCGGTGGCAGCGCTAACGCCGTGTTCGTTCTGTTGTAGGGGGAAGGGGACTGATGAAACCATGCTATTTAGCTCAACATGCTGAACCTTTCGTAGAGCAGTACATGAGCTCCTCAGACCTTTGCCGACTGCAAATGCGAATCTGGGGACTTTCAGACATCAACTTTGTTTGTTTGAGCCCGTGATGCGCAGTTTGCTTGTGGCTTGAGCCAAATCAGATGGCATGAAACCGCATGCGGCGCAGGGAGTTGGGTCTGCCCACAGGCCATTGGCAACCGGATTTCACATCCGGCCGCCGGATCCGAGGCTGGATGTGCTGACCTTCGTGATGTTCCAGGCGCCCTGCTCCCTGGCGCCGTTGGCACTCAGCGTGGTCTTCTCCTGGGAGGAGGGCATTTGGGAGGCCGGCGGCTGGAGACTGTGAAGGGAGAGGGGGGGTGATCTTGTCATGGCAGGCAAGTGCCAAGTTCTACTGTGATCCAAGAGGGATGCCTGGGATGAAATTTGGCTTTGTTGGAGACACGAGCGCAGACAGTGAGACGAGAGAAAGGGTCCCAGGAGCTAATTTCAATGGCGCCGTCATGTCGGTTCATTTGGACGGTACTAGTCAGTGGTGGTCGGGGTTCCCTCCGGATTAATCCGAAGACAACATGAAGGGAACGGTAATTATTTACGGATCTAAACTTATATTGTTCATTTGTTGCTATTCTATTATAATGCTTCGCATTGGTCATAAAGGCTTAGGAATCTACTGTTTTGTATTGGATTCCTTTTTGCCAGTACATTGATATTAGTCCTTATACAGATAGAGATATGTTCATTGGAACTTTAGATGAAACAGCCTGCTGTTCGCCCGGCATGACGGTGGAAAGAACTTTCTAAGGGTTGATTCCCTATTCTTTCGTCACACGCGCACTCAGTGCAACGATCGGTCTTTCCAGCCGGTTTCGGCTCAGTTTTTGATTTTTTCTGCAGCGAGCACTGACGCATACAGAAAGTTGTCCCGCGGGCTAGGGGTAGGGCCAATAGACTAGACAACCCCTTCCCCTGACCTGCCAAAGTCATGCCGCTGCAGGCCATCGATCTTACTGGCAGCGTTCTGTTTTCCGGGGCATTGTTCTTTCCCTACAACCATCGTTCTTTCCCCAGGGCCATCGTTCTTTTCCCAACCATTGTTCTTTCCCCAACCATCGTTCTTTCCCAACAACCATCATTATTTCCCTTCTTTCCCCACCCCATCATTCTGTCCCCCTGCATCGTTCTTTCGATCAAAGATCAGTGTGTCCCTGTTTATATTTTTTCGCTTTTGCATCTGTTTTGGGTGAAAATTGGAAAACCAGAAAGAATGGGGAAGTTATTTTCGGTTAAAACCCATTCTTTCCAAGCATCAAATTTTCTAGGACTTCCGGCCTTTCCTCCCGAAAGTGATGACAACTGCTGCGTGGGCTGCTGCGTGGGCCCCCATTGAAAGATTGAGGAAGTGAATTGGAAGCTTGTGGGGAACTGGATCGCCACTTTGGTGGGTTGGCTGCTGAGGGGCCCGCGGTGCCGTCAGGAGGGTGCTTCAATGCTTGCCGTGAAGCCACGGGCTTTATATTTGCCAGCGTCGCCTTGGCAATGATTCATGACATGGATGTGGGCAAAACAAGAAGGGCAAGGCTGACCGCCCCTGCTTGGGAGATGCCTGGTGGGCTGCTGGGAGTCGGCAAAGGGAGAGAATGGGAACAGTTGAGTTTTAGCCTTGCTTGGGTGGACTGCTTTGATGGCAATTGTTGTCGCATCCATTTTGGGGGAAAATTGGGTTAGCTCTTCAGAATGGGGTGGTGTGGCTTAGAAACTTAGATTTGCGAGCCCCAACCACACGCTGCAACACAGGTAGGCACTCCCGGAGCGTTGCAAAGGCCCCAAGTGCTCGCTCCAAAAGGCCTCGTATGGCCTGCCTTGTTTAGACGGTTCGTCGCTCGTTTGGAGGCCTTCCTGGCTCACTGGCCGATGTGCCTTAGCGCTAAGCATGAGGTGTTAATATCTGGAGCTGGGGCGGGGGCGAGGGGAGAAGTGGGCTCTTTTGCTTGGAGTCTGGGATGGCTCATAAGTCAGCATGTTCTTGAATAGCTCGTGCTGCCGCGGCCCTGTGCTGGCAGCAATGCGTCTTCTTCTTTTTTTGCCCCTGTTTTGGGGGTCTTTCTCTCGTGCGATCATGAGCCGGCGTTGTCTCAGAAACCTCGTTTGCACTTCCAGTGCCACCAGTTCTCTTTGACCACCAGACTTTAGCCACAAGCTGAGGATCCTGCTCAATGCCTTGAATGCCTTCGCTAGAGCCCCAGTATCAGATGGCCACGGGGCGGGCTGCGAGAAGTATTCGAATGGTGCAAGGCTGCCCAGGGTTCGTATGTGGTCCTTCGCAGTTGTTCCCCTGCAATAAGGGAGCAGGTCCTGAGAATCAGGGAGGGTGCTGATGCAAGTGTAGCATTCTGTCCGCAACTTCTCGGGAATGAGCAGAACTGTTGTTTCTACCGGTCAAAGATCGGGTGTAATCATTCAGGCTGCAAAGTGCAAAGTGCCAATCTTGAGAAGAGGCACTGATCCCGTCCATACAATTGAATTCGGACGCATGAATTCGTGTCTTAGTAACCCTGGCCTCGCTCGTTGCTGACTGGGTGACCAATGGAATTCTGTTTCTGGTTCCATTTTCCCGTTTATAGCGAAGACTAGATAAATATACTTGGGGACCCCCCACCCCCCCCTTATGGTAGGGGGGATCCTGGATCCAGGCCCTGAACGTTGTGATCGCCACAACTTTGAAGCGGCTCTCGGCCGTGGCCTTTGTCATCATCGGCATCGTCAAGGAACTCCCCCGTGTGCGTGCAACCCGTGCGTCACAACAGCAACACCAAGAAACACTCCCAGAGAGAGAGAGAGAGAGAGAGAGTTGGCTGGTGACTTTTTTGAGGCCCTTGCCGAAAGTTGAGAGGTGTATCGCTTTGGATTTGTACAATCCTTGGCCCTTTTGACAAGGGGTGCGCAGCAGTCAGCAGTTTGTTCTCGACGTGCGCGCGCAGTGGCAGTGGTGCATTGTCCCGGCAAAATTGGCTAGGACAGTGTGATCGTTGCCACGTCGTCTCTGGTCTTTGGTGACCACATTTCTTCTCAGCAGCAGGTTGGCTTTGTCGTCATTCTGCAACTTGGACAGCAAACCGCCGCCTTTTGCAGCCATGTTTTTTTTTGAATAAATATTTCATGATGAAATCAAACATACAACCGAATGAAGTGAAGCCCCCTTTTGCAACAAGCTGGAGGCCAACGCAGCCCCAAGAGGCCACCGTTCCCGCCGCGCTTCCCAGGACTGGCATTGCTGGGGGCCCAAGCTGCACTGAGATGGCAAAGTATATCCAGGGAGAAGCGATGTCAACGTCCAACGATCCAAGCCACCAACCTGACCTCTGCACCCAACTCAACACGACAAGTCATCTCATTTCATCAGATCCTGCGCAGCGCGTCGCTCTTCGTGTTGGTTTCGGTTCCCTCGGCGTTTTTCCTCGGCTGCGTCGCAGGTGTGGCGCTTTTTGCCCCTGAGGCGTTCTGGAGCCACTTGAAGCTCAAGGAGCAGGCGGAGCACGAGAAGCTGAAAGAGACGGAGCCCCTGGCAAAGGCCCCGGGGGCAGACGGGGGGAGCCATGGGCCAGGAGTTGGGACGGGGGCAGGATGGAGAAGAGATGCCCTGGACTTGGAAGGGCAGTCCTCATTTGTTGTTTCCGTGGCGGGCCTTTTGTTGATTGTTTCCGTGTCTAAACATACAGGTCGGAGGAAAAACAATGTGTTGCAAAGGTCGGCCCACACTATGCGCAGCCAATCCCTCAAACTCAGTGCGGGTGGCAGGATGCGAGGGCCCCCGCGCAGGCGCGGCGTGTTTCGCGCGTCCGCGAGGCGGCTTTTGGGGTTCGAATGGCAGCTGGTGGAGATGGGACCTCAATCAGAGAGCTCTCAGGGTCGCAGGTTTCTTGGGCTTCCCGGAGCTCCCGATGCCCTTGCATTGAACATTCAGAATCTCAGATGCCATGTTTCAGGAGTCTGCACGGGTCTGAGTGGCCCAGCCGGAAAGCCAAACATTGGCAGACAGCCGGGCAAAAGTGGCGCGGCGTTGGGGGAGGCTGCTCGAACCGCTGGATCTTATTGTGCCTGGGGAGGCTGTCGTCCGGTCCTGCCATTGAAAGTCAAAGCGTCCGCTTGCAGGTGTACTTTTCAATGTAATCACACATTTGCCCGGCTTGTAGTTTCTTGTTTGAGCACGTGCGATTGATGGGTGCAAGTAAGGCATGCTGCATGCCAGCAGGCCTCTCTGGATGGCTTCGCTCGGCGATCTAGCAACCGACTGGCGATCCAAGGCTACCATGCGCTGCGGTGGAGTTGAGATCCTGGAATGCAGGTGCGGGGGACGCGGGACACTACGGAATTTGTGTACAGGGCAAAAAGCATGGCCCGCGGCAGTAAATGTGGCAGGCAGCACAAGCAGAGCAGAGTTATTCCCTTCTCAGGCATTTGCAGAAGCAAAGGATCAAGCACCCCGTGTCTTGCAGTGGCAACCTTGTGCTCCTTGATTCACATGGACAACTGCAGGGGGCAATCCTTCAGAACAGAAATTGAACATTCAGCGATTGACCGTTTGCGTTTGTTGGGGCATGCCAAAAAGCATCAATGGGCAAAGCGTTCTCCTTTTCGAATGTCCGACGTTCCGCTGGCATCGAAGAGTGACTTTCAAGCGGCACCTTCCCGAAAAGGCAAAACAAGAGAGCGTTCAACCTTCCAAAGGCAGCAACTGTGAGGACCCGTGGCCTTGGGTCTCAAATGAGGTCCGACTGGCAGGTCACCGTGAGTGGTGCTGGTCGTCTGCCAGCTTCGAGGCAAGAGTGGCCATAGCCACTGGGCCGGTGGTTAGAGGAATTTGGAGTCAGGCAAGACTAGATGAGTTTGTGTGTTTTTTAGGGGACTTGATGCACACACTTGGTATTCCTTTAGTTTTCCCTTAACAGACATTAAAACAAGTACCCTCGAAAACGACAGACCCAGATTTGGTTTCAACGCTGGCTTGAGATGTTAAGGCGATGACAAGCCACTGCCCGAACCTTTCCTAGTTTTTACGCTCTCTTCCGGCCGGGCTGCCTTCTGAAAGGATTCGAGTGAAGGCATCCGTTTCTTGGAAGTGCCGTTGATGTTGCAGAAGGCGTCGAATGAGGCAATCAAGGCTGTCCGAGATTCATCCCGCAGAGCAAACAGACGCTCAGCCCCTCCCACGACCTTTTCCAGACAACAAGCAGGTGCCATTTTTTTGATGCATGATTGGATGTGCAAAGGTGATGATCTTTCTCAAAGGCTGTTCTGGAGGATGATGTCGGCACTTATTTGCCAAGCTTCGCCTCGAGCGTGCAGGCTTGCTGCGGCAGGCCTGAGGCGACCTCTGTAGAGGCGCAGATAGTGAAGGGGAGCAGGGAGGTCCCTTGGGTGGATGTGTTTGGTTGAAGCCGGGGGTTGCCTCTATCAGAATTCCTCAAGGCCGGGGGTTGCCTCTATCAGAATTCCTCAAGGCGTCGTCTTCTGGCCGTCTTTTGTGACTTGCCTTTTCTCTTAAAATGAACTCCTGGTTCTGGTGGTGATTTTCACCGATTGGGCAACCGCAGCCAGGTGTTTCTTGTTTATCACCTCTAGTTTAAAGACAACAAATGGCGATCTCCTCCCCTGGGCCTGCAAAAAAATAGCAGGTGCAGGCTCGCTGCTGGCCCACGGCCATGGTGGGCGTGGCCTTCCTGGTTTGTTGCCTCTCGGTGGAGCCGGGCGCCGAGAGGCGAAATATCTGGGGATTTCTCAGCTCCCCGTTTGGGCTCCCCGACTGGTGCGGCATGTTGCTTAACCTGCTTTGGAGGGGTCCCAAAATCCTGGGCAGGACCCATTTGAAATCAAATTTGGTAATCCTGGGGGACTGGTTTGGCCACCGGCACGGCCGCCTTTGCGATTTCCGAATGCCACTTGAAGTGACCATGCAGGCAATTGGCCTGGGAGAGCGGCAGTAGCTTTGATCAACTGGCCTGACACTCGCCCTCAAGATCCTGTCTGTTTTTGTTAGCATGGTTCTTGGTTTGCTTTATGAGGCAAAGGGTGCGCTGTGGAACCGTTCAAGAATTGCTGGTTGCACGCTGAGGCATGGCAACACACTGAAGGCCCCGCCGCTTTGCAGGTTGCTTGGGCTAGCTGCTTATTGGCCCGGTGGGTGTCCGTCCTTCCGAGTTTGCACTGCATTCAGACGCATGTACTGCCAGCAAATGAAAAGGGAACCGCCTCCGCAACGGGTATGGGCGAGCGCCGGACGTCATATTTGCCGTTGCGGGCCATCATTTGGACGTGGCGGATTTTGAGTGCCTCGATCGCCTGCCAGGCGCGCGAGGGAAGACCTGAAGGCCCGGCCTAGCGACGCGAGCCTTGTCTTTTTGGGTAGGCGAGCGTGATGCGCCCTTTAAAAACACACACACACAAAACACACATGGGGCGTGTTTCTTTGCAACAAGAAGCCAGGCTACGGCGGGCAGGGGTGGTGGGATGTCTGACTCGAAGAGGTGCTCTTACCTGGAAATCAAAGGGTAATCAGAGGATCTCTCAGGCTCGGGGGTGGATCATGGATGGCCCCGAGGTGACACGGACTTGATGGAAGATCTTTCTGAAGGCAGGGGCGGGGGAGTGGCTCAGCCCTCTGAATCAGAAGTGTTTCTAACAAAAAGCGTCCCCTCCCAGCCACTGCTTGAGCATGGAATGTTCCAACATCCTTCGCCTTTCGCCACGCGGGCCTGACCACTGCCTTTTGCCGTGCTCGCTGTGAACCACTCTAATTTGCCGATGGAAATTGAAATCGGCAAGCGGGCGGGTCAAGTCCAAGTACTTCTGGATGCAGCTGCTGCGTACGTTGAACCGGTTTCCCTAGGATTCTCCTAGCCTCTTCGAAAGGTGTGCCCGAAAAAAAGTTGCCAGTTGCAGGCGCAAGGCGCTTTCTCTCCCCCGCGCCAGGCTTCGGGCCGCTGCGCAGCGCGTACAACGCCAAAGACGCGCTGGGTGGCCCAGACGTTGAAGCCATTCATGAGTAGGGTGCGTGGTCGACTTGGGCTTGTGCATCCGTCATTGCAGTGTTGTGCTTGGAAGCAGGGAGGTTCCATGAGAAAACGGCAGGTTCCATGAGAAATGTGTGACCTACTGCGCCACCACATTTTTTTTCATGGTCCCTGAAAAAGGGCCTCCCAGGAGATTTCTTCGGCTGTTTGGATTCCATGTCAAGCTGAGACGCAACGCGTGCAGGGCGTTCCTCCTCCAGCTGGCCATGGCTCTTCCTGTGGCAGGGATCTTGAATGGGGTCAGAATGGAAGCGTCCCCTCTACCAGGTTTCATAGGTGGATGGTTTGCTGCTTCGGTCGTTTGGTGGTTTTGTCCCTTGCGAGAATTCCAAGTGACAAGTCGGATAGAAGCAGGCCCCTTGACAATTGCATGTTGCGCCGCGGCGCATGAGTCGGCAATGGTGGTTAACCCAGCCAGGAACGTTTGTAAGAAAGACGTGCATGATGCTGGGTACCCCTTTTGTTGTCTCATTTATAGGCTTCTACGCAGATCCAGGTGATGAATGTCTCTTTTAGGTCTTGTCAGGCGCCTTACCTAAGTCTTCCTTTCAGCAGTTAAATGTATCACTTGCACGGAGCAAAGTCATTTGATCGATCCTGATCCTGCGATTTCAGGTGTGGTCCCACCTTTCGGCCACTCGGAGGCTTGCTGCGCGCACACGTTTAGCTTTGCTGGCCTTGCGGTCGGGTGTGATTTATGCTGCATGCTTCCAAGCGAGTTCGCATCGCTTGGCGAAGAAGTCAGTTCGCAATGCACATGAACATCCGACATGATGAGATTGCCTTGATTACAATGGCAAGGCAGTGGGAAGCAGGGCTGAGCCTTCGAAGTCCCGCTACTCTTGGCCCAGATGCTGCACTTTGGCACGCATGTGCAAGAACCCAAGCCGACACGCAAACTCGCACAAACAAATAGGCACAACAGCAAGCGCAGAAGCAAATAGAGGCAGGCCAGTCGACAAGCAAACAAATATACATACGAGCAGGCAAGTGCATACACCAGCACGTCCTCAATAGGATGCTCCCGCTTCAGCAGGGTCGGAAAAAAGCGAGTCTGAGCTAAGGCTGGTTTTCCTCTGCATTCCCTGGCCCCAACCAGTGGGTCTCAGGAGATTGCTCCGTCGCACAGCCTAGAGTTGTAGGGGAAGGCACCCTGGAGTGCGGCACCGAGCAGATGCATGGCAGCGCCAGAGCTCTGGGTGCAGTTTGGATCTCTGCAAAAGCAGGCCCATCTTCAAGTTGAGGGATGCCGCCGGCAGCCAACGTTCGCTGAGAGGGGGTGCTGAGCGAAGGGTGGGCTGAGGTTGGTCAGATAGAAGCGCTTTGTTCAATGGCATGAAGCTTCACGCGGGGTTAAGGCCCTGCGCAAAGCGGGAAGGGCGTTTGCCGGCCTTTGCTTCTTGCGCTCGCAGGTATCGACGGAGGGTTGCCTGGATGTTGGCCGCTGGCGCAAGAAGGCGTGGCTTGGGGGCCGATGGTTCGGGCTTTTGTGAAGGCAAGAGAGCTAGGCGCCAAGCTGTGCTGAAATGCGGCAGCCCGGCAGCTTGCCACTGGCCTGTGAACGAAACCGACGGGTGTTTGGAAGTCCTGGTCCTTGGTCCCCGGCCAGGCGTCTGGAGAACGAGAAAACCGAAAGGGTACATGAAAAGAAGCCCCCAAGTTGGGGTCCCGCTGGTTTCGGCACGCCATTTCCTTCGAGCATGGCTCAAGAAAATGGCTCTTGGACATCCGAGCATGCGGCGGAACCCCAACACTCTAAACTACATGACCCAAACATATGCCCGTGAATGTGAAAACATGTTCAGGTGCGCGCAGCCTTCGCAGATGAGGCGCCAGCGCTGGCACGAGCGCCGGTGTCACAGCTGGAGCTGCAGGCCAAAGGCCGGGGATTTCTCAGGGACAACGCGTGTCTTTGATGATTTTGATCGAGGTGTCCATCTTTGGAGTTGATTTCAAGGGAAAACACAGGAACGCCAACCATTCTGGCGGTTTCCCTAAGTTTGAGACAACCCTAAGTGTGTAGGCAGCAGGGACAACAAGGGTCAGGCAACGCCTCAGGTTTTCTTGGATATCCTGTTGTTTTGCTTTAGGCGCAGCGCTGACCAGTGGCCAGAAGTTGGCCAAGCTGCAGGCGGCAGGCCAATCGGCCAATCGATCCGATTCGCTGGGCAAATGTGATGACCATGGTGGAGTTTCTCGCGCGGGTGTTTTATTGGCCGCCTTTGGCGGGGGAATGCCTGTTGCAACAAAGCGCTGTTTGCAGTGCACTTCGGCAAGCCGAGTGGTGTGTGTGTGTGTGTGTGCGCACGCGTGTGTGTTTTCCCCTTTTGGTGGGGGCTCGGGAAGTTAGATGTCGCAGGTGAAGAAAAAACAGTCAAGGCCAATGGGCCTTGAAGGATTGTAGGTGGTTCTGCGTCGGAGTAATTGAGGACCGAAATAACATTCTGTCGCTGCTAAGCCACGACCACTTGCCATGAACACCAAATCAAGCTGGCCGTGAGGTGGGCCAGTTGTGCTTCATCTTGGTATGAACTGCAAATTTGCTGGCCATGTTTCCCTCTCGAATCCGGACATGAACAAATGCGTTTATGAGACATGACCAAATTTGGAACAGCAACGGCTGATGGTCAGAAAGAATTCTAAATCAGCTGCGAGGCGCGGCTGGCCCCCAGTAGGAGATCTGTTAGCCGCGTGTATTGGACTGCTCTTCAGATTGACGCACGCAAACTGAACCTCCTCAGAATTGGAGTGGTCAATGCGCTTGGCCACTTGCGATGAAAAGCTGCGATGTTCAACACAGGCTGCCAACGTGTACTTTGCACGCAAGAGTGTCGACTAGTGGCAATGTCGGAGCTGGAGCTGCCAAAGTGCAGTTTTTGCACCCTCCATTTGTACCGAGCACTTGCCTGCGAATTAGTTTGCCTGTTTGGATGCAACAATTTGTGTCCAGAAGCTGCGAAACGAGCAGAGTAGCGCAGCAAAATGGCCACCTGTTCCAAATCGCCCCGTCTCTTGATGCAGCTGCAAGTTGAACGCCTACCTCGCAACAACTAACCCGCCGGGTGAGAGAAGTTTCACCTCTTCCCATCAAACGCTGACGGCAGGCTGGGGCCTCAGCCCGGTTGACGCCTTTCATCTCTCCCTGTCTGGTGGAGCGGCCGAAGGCGGCGCCGCCTTTGGCGGTGGTGCGGCCGCCGAGGCAGCCGCAGAAGCGGAGAGGGCGGCGGCGGAGCGTTGTCCGCCCAAAGGAGGCGGGGAGCGGAAGGCACACGATGGAAACCAGACCCGCGCACGGAGCCACTTGGCCCGCCATGCATCTTGTGTCAGAGAGCAGTGGGGCTGGTTGACGATGGATGCATTTGGTAAACGAAGTGGGGTTGAGAAATGATCCTGGAAAGCGATTCAGAAGTGGACTTTACGGCGGAGCGCTTGATTTGAGGGCCGTGCTTGGCGGCAAGGCGAATAAAGCCAGCAGGAAGTCCATTTGGAAATATTTGCCAAGTACTTGCTGGTATTCAGGATCACTCACAACTTTTTGATAGGAGGGTTCACCCTCGGTTGGCACTGAAAAATGGTGCTTGACAAATGCAGCTGTCCCACTTACTTTGCTACTGTCCTTTTAACGTTGGCAGATTCCTACTACTGCAAGTCAGCTTCTTTCTCGCGTTCCCAGTTCTTTTCCAAAGATCCTGTGGAGCGTGCGTTGCCTTCCGGGCTCAGGCTCCCGCATTTTTTTCCGCAGGCCGCCACGCGGGGTACTGGTGCGGCCGTTGCAGCGCGCACTGCTCCTCCCCGACCGCCTGGAAGCAGCACTACGAGACTCAGCTGCACAGCCCTGCGGAGTGCTTTGGCGCACGGACCAACCGGCATAGGTGTCCTTTTTGGTTGATTTAGTTGACAAATAGAGGGCCCTGGTTTACTTGGTCGTTCAATCAACTACCAGGGCCATCTATTTTCCCAAAAAGGACACCTATGCCAACCGGTCAATCAAGCTAGCAACACAGCGAGTGGGAGAGAGCGAGAGACAGGCAGGCAAGCAAACAGAACATGGGCTAGACATCTAGACTACAGAGTGACAAGCCACTTCCCCGCATTCAACTTGGGATATATGAGATTTTGCCTCATCTTTGTCAAGCCACGTTGGGACCTCCCAGCCTGAGCCACTGCCAAAACGACCTCCTTGAATACATGTATGTTGCATCCCATGCCTGAGTATTCCTTTCACGCGAACGCTGGACTTGCGTGAGCAGCGACGGTTAGAACCTGAGCAGTGGGCTGGCCTCGCTTCATGCGTTAATTGCAGCGTT